GAATATGACTGTGTAGCCAGGCACCATGGTACACACTTATAATCCCAGCTACTCCAGAGGCTGAGGCAGGAGGATTGCAAGTTCAAAGTTAGCCTCAGCAACTTAATGAGATCCTGTCTCAAAACAAAAAATATAAAGTGTTGGTGATGTGCCTCAGTTTGATCCCCAGTAGCAGAAAAAGATATAAAAAAAAAAAAAGAAAGTGTTCCTGTCCTAGAAAAAGTATAGACTCAGAAAAGATGTGAGAAGACCAGGCTGCCCTTTGGCAGAGAGTCTGCTTACAACAGCAGACAATAACAACAATAAAAGAAAAACAACAATTAGGCAACACCAAAAGTAATAACAACACCTGCAGAATTTGGGGAAAGAGTAGAATTTGATTTTTTTCCACATTTTTTATTGGTACATTAAAATTTGTACAAAATGATGGGAATTTGTTGTTACATATTTGTACATGCACACAATATAACAATACAATTTGGCCAGTGTCTCTCCACAGCGCCTTCCCCCTCCCACCCTGCTCCTACTCCTTGGTCCCTTTCCTCTACTGATCTCCCTTTGATTTTTCATGAGATCCACCCTCAGCTTTCTTTTTTCCTCTCTAGCTTCCACATATGAGAGAAAACATATGACCCTTGCCCTTCTGAGTTTGACTTAATTTGCTTAACATAATGGTCTCTAGTTCCACCCATTTTCCTGAAAATGCCCTGATTTCTTTCTTTCTTTTTTCTTTCTTTTTGGTATCAGGGCTTGAACCCAGGGGCACTTAACCACTGAGCCATATCCCCAGCCCTTTTTTATATTTTATTTTGAGTCAGTCTTGCTAATTGCTTAGGGCCTCACTGAGTTGCAGAGGCTGGCTTTAGACTCATGATCCTCCTGCTTCAGCCTCCTGGGCCACTGGGATTACAGGCACGTGCCATGATGTCCAGCTGCTTCTTTTTTATTTTTTATTTTATGGCTGAATAAAACTTTACTGCATATATGTATACACCACATTTTCTTTATCCATCTATCCATTGATGGATACCTAGGCTGCTTCATAGTTTGGCTGTTGTGAATGTGCTGCTCTAAACATAGGTATGCATGTATCACTGTAGTATGCTGACTTTAATTCTTTAGGATACATACCCGTGAGTGGCATAGCTGCGTCATATGGTAGTTCCATGCCTAGTCTTTTGAGGAATCTCCATACTGATTTCCACAGTGGTTGTACTAATTTATACTCCCACCAACAGTGTAAAAATATAGAATCTGATTTTCTGAATGACTATATTATTAGATTCAAATGCTAGTTTTCAAAAACAAATTACCAGATATACAAAGAAACAGGAAAATGTGTCCAAAGGGGAAAAGTAAACCGATAGATACTGTCCCAAGGAAAAAACAGATGATGGACCTAGACAAAGATTTAAAACAGTTATCTTAAAGAAGCTCAAAAAGCCGGGTGTGGTGGCACATGCCTGTAATCCCAGCAGCTCAGGAGGCTGAGGCAGGAGGATTACGTGTTCAAAGCCAGCCTCAGCAATTTAGCCAGGTGCTAAGCAACTCAGTGAGAGTCTGTCTCTAATAAAATACAAAATAGGGCTGGGGATGTGGCTCAGTGGTCAAGTGTCCCTGGTACCACCCCCCCACCCCCCAAAAAAAAAAAAAAAGCTCAAAAAATAGGGGCTGAGGATATAGCTCAATTGGTAGAGTGCTTGCCTCACATGCACAAGGCCCTGGGTTCAATCCCCAGCACCACATACACACACACACTCACAAAAAAAAAAAAAAAGCTCAAAAAAATAAAGGAAGATATGGAGAAAGATTGGAAAATGATGTATGAATGAAATGATAATATCAAGAACGAGAAAACCAAAAAAAGTTCTAGAGCTGAAAAGAACAATGACTGAAATTAAAAAGTTGACTTAAGAGGGTTTCAAAGGCAGATTTGAGCAAGCAGAAAAAGGAATTCATGAACTTCAAGCAGAATGATTGAAATGATCAAGTCTAAGGAACAAAAAGAAAAATGTTTAAAGAAAAGTGGACAGAGCTTAGCCAGGCACCATGACGCATGCCTGTGATCCCAGCAGCTCAGGAGGCTGAGGCAGGAAGATCACAGGTCAAAGCCTGTCTTAGCAATTTAGGGAGATACCGTCTCAAAAAACGGCTAGGGATGTAGGTTAGAGGTAGAACACCCCTGGGCTCAATTCCCAGTACCACAAGACAAAAGAAAAGAAGAACAGTAATGCAGGAAAGGAGGCAAAAAGTTAGAATGCACTAAACAAAACAAATAACAAAATGACAGAAATAAATCCTTTCTAACCAGTAATTATTTAAATGTAAGTTCAAAAGATATTATCAAATTGATTAAATTCAAAAGACAGATATTGTCAGAATGTATCTTTTTTAATGATCAAATTATTTGCTGTGTACAAAAGACTTGCTTTAGATTCAAAGACACAAATAGGTTGCAGATGAAAAAATGGAGAAAGATATCACAGGGTTTGAGAGGTGACTTAGAGGCCCTGAGTTCAACCTCCAGCACCACAAAAAGATTCCCTACAAAAAATAGTTAGAACTAATAATTCAAGATAGAAGTAAGGTCAGCACACAAAATTAAGTCATATTTTTAAACACTCATTCTGAGAAGGAAATTTTTAAAAAGTTTCACTTAAGATAGCATTTTCTTTTTAAGAAAAAGATATCTAGGAATTAAACAAGGAGGTGACAGTCTTATACAATTAAAAGTACAAAATATAGCCAAAATGAAGAAGATCTAAGTAAATAGAAACAACCTATGTTCCTGTATTGCAAGACTTAAGGTTTCCATATTTGTCAAAGTGATCTAGAAATACAGTACAGTTGCTATAAAATATCAACATTGTTTACAGAAATAGAAAAACCTGTTCTCAAATTCACATGAATTCTTAAGGGACCCCTAGTGTCCTAAATAATTGTGAAAAAGAAAACAAAGCTAGGGCTGGTGTTGTGGTTCAGTGGTAGAGCACTTGCCAAGCATGCGAGAGGCACTGGGTTTGATCCCTGGCACTACATTAAAAAAATAAAAAAGGTGTTGTGTACATCTGCAACTAAAAAGAAAGAACAAAGCTAGAGATCTCATACTGAATTAAAGACAGTGTGGTATTGGTATAAAGATAGACATCACTGAGGCAGGAGAATCATAAGTTCGAGGCCAGCCTCAGCAACTTAGCAAAGCCCTAAGCAACTTAGTGAGACCCTGTCTCAAAATGAAAAATGTAAAAAAGGGCTAGGGATGTGGCTCAATGATAGAGCACCCCTGGGTTCAATCCCGTGACCCCCCCCCCAAAAATGATAGACATATAGACCAATGAAATGAATAGATGGACCTGAAATAAACTCTCACTTATGGCCAAATAATTTTTGATAAGGCTAGCATATAGCTCGATGGGGAAAGGACAGTCTTTTCCACAAATGGTGCTAGCAACACTCAGTGTCTACATGCAGAAGAATTAAGTGGACCTTCACCTAATACCACATTGAAAAGTGAGCTAAGGACTTCAACATAAAACCTGAAACAAACGGGAAGAAGAAAGCCTAGCATAAAGCTTTATATTATGAATTTGGTGATTATTTCTTGGATATGACGTTAAAGGCAAAAGCAACAAGAAAAATTTTAAAAATTTTATGGAATTCAAATTAAAATCCAAAATTGAAAATTTTCTACTTCAGGAGCCACTATCAACAGAGTTAAAAGGTAATTTACAAATTAGGAGGTAATTTTTGTGAGTCACAATGTGTGGCAAGGGATTATTTATATCCAGAATTCATAGAAAATTCCTCAAACTCAATGAGAAGAAATGACTCAGTTAAAAAATGGGCAGTGGATATGACATTTCTCCAGAAAAGATAAGCACATAGACAATAAGCACATGAAAAGATGTTCAACATCACTAAGCATTAGGGATAGATACCACCTCACCCCCATTAGGGTATCTACTACCAAAAAACCAAAACAGAAAAAAGCCAAGCAGGAAATAACAAGGTTGGCCAGGATGTGAAAAATTGGAACCTTTATGCATTGTTAGTGGGACACAAAATGGTGCAGCTGCTTTAGAAAACACCATGGTGGCTCCTCAAAACATTAGGGGTAAAATTACATATGATTCAGGAATTCCAGGTGGCTATCACCCAGTGGAAAACAGAGCAGGATTTCAAAGAGGTATTTGTACAAACATGTTCACAGCATTATTCACAAGAGCTAAAATGGGTAAGATGAATGAATAAGCCAAGTGTGACTTGTATGACACACAAGGAAATATTATTTGGCCTTAAAAATGATAGAAAATCTGCTGGGTGCAGTGGTGCACACCTGTAATCCCAGCAACTCAGGAGGCTGAAGTAGGAGGATCCCAAGTTCTCAGCAATTTGGGGAACCCTGTTACAAAATAAAAATATAAAAAACCTGCTGGGGATGTGATGCAATGGTTAAGTGCTCCTGGGTTTAATCCCCAGTACCCCCCCCCAAAAAAAAAAGAAATTCTGATGCATGCTGTTAGCATGTAAAATGAATCTGGAGAATGTTGTGTGATGTGAAATAAGCCCATCAGGAAAAAGGCAAACATTGGGTGATTCCACTTGGTGAGATATTTAGATGATGGCTGTGAAGAGCAGGAGGTAGAGGGAATGGATTCGTGTTGAATGGGCTTCCATTGTACAAAGTGAAAGGAATGTGGGAGCTGGAAGCCGGTGGTAGTTGCACAGCGTCATGGATGTGTTGTACAGTGAAACATACACTTACAGACGGTGGTTATGGTGATTTTAGTTTCTGTGTATTTTAACATAATTTTAAAAAAACAGGAATGGGACTTTAGAAAGGAAAAGGTTTTTAACAGATTTAATTGTCTAACTTGCAATCATTTCTAGTCAGGAATCCCTGGAATGAAGGTTTTTGTACCTTTGGTTATAGTCTTCCTCCTTTTGCATCTTAAAGCCTGTCTGCTCATGGATTCTGTTGTGTGTATTTCCTTGTCTAGGGGAAAACAGAATCCATCACTGTCGTGAAGTTGCTGAGCTGCTTTGATGACCTTGTGGCAGCAGGCACAGCCTCTGGGAGAGTTGCGGTTTTTCAACTTGTGTCTTCATTGCCAGGGAGAAATAAACAGGTAGGTGCTCATAATTTTAGCATTTCTTCATTTGGTGGCAAATTCCTTATGGATTAGAAATCTTCATCTACCTAGAAAAATTTATTCTCAGAAAAGCATAACTTTGTGCTGTTTGTAGATAACATTTTTGTTCCTGATGGACACTTGGCACAAAGTATGTACGTGTGGGTACTTCCATTTTTGCTTGATTCTCCTGGAGTGTTCTCTGTGGGTTTTGAAGGTGGACAGATGGAACCTTATGCAGGTTATGAGTGGCAAAGCAGGCTGGGAAAACCAGCTCCCACATAAATAGCAGTGCTGTCCGCGTAACCCAGTCACAACATTTATTCTTTTCTTTTCCTGGTGTGTATTTTTATTGTTTATTCATAGCTTCGGAGGTTTGATGTCACTGGTATTCACAAAAATAGCATTACTGCTCTGGCTTGGAGCCCCAATGGAATGAAATTGTTCTCTGGAGATGACAAAGGGAAAATTGTCTATTCTTCTCTGGATCTAGACCAGGTAAATCAATGTTCTTGTCTCATGCCTTCTAATACTTGGAATGATTATAGTTGTATTTTACTGGTCAGCTTATATTCTTGATCATAGTCCCTTTATAATCTCAATTGTTATTTGTCACATTTTCTTTCATGGATTTTACCAGTGAGCTCTTACTTCTGTGACTAAAGAGTTGCCTACTGCAGCAGTCACTTTGTTTTATTTTTAAGTGACACATAAATAATATACATATTTGTGGGACACCACGTGTTGTTTGGATACGTTGAAGTGCTCAGATGTGTAAACACGCCTAGTCCTCCAACACTTGTCACTAGTCTGGTGAAACATTTGCTTTTTCATTCTGCTCTTTGTTCTGACCACTTAGAAAAGAAACTGTTGTCATTCCCTGTTCCTTGAAAGCAGAAGTGACAGGAAGCATTGTCCAGTCATAACTGTGAACAAGGTTAGTGTCTCCTTGGATAGAGAGCTTACCTGGAGCAGGACCTGGCCTGTGAGATGACCTCATGTGGGAGGAGATACTCAGGAAGGGAAAGAGTTGGAACAGCAGGTGCTCTGCCCCACCTCACCTTTATCACAAGGGTGCTTGGAGTTGTTGTGTTCTCATCCTGTAGAACCAGTAACCAGTCTGGGGGCACAAGCTCAGGCCCAGTGTCTCTTCCAACCCAGGATCATCTCCAAAGGCCAGTGGCCTGTGTTTTATTTGTTTTGTCCTGGGTCTGACAACTAGACTGAACTACTTGGTGTTACTGTCCTTTCTTTTTCTCATTTGTAGCCTTCATTCCCAGTGCAGAATTTCCAAGAAGTTACCAGTTACCAGCTGAGTAGCTTTCAGTCCCTCCGATCCAGGACGGACCTATTATAAATACTCCATAGTGTTCTTAAGCTCTCTGGTCTCAGAACCTCTATGCTCTTAGAATGTCTACCCAAAGAGCTTTCATTTATGTCAAGCATACCACATTAGAAATTGAAACTGAGGAATTGGAAAGCATTTATTAACTATATTTTGAAATAATAAACCTTACATTATAATTTAACAAAAACATTTTTGTGAATGTAATTTCAAAACTAATGAGGAAAGTAGCATTGCTCTCTATTTTTGCATTTTCTTTAATGTCTGGCTTTTTAATAATAAGGCAGTTGATTCTTTATTCAATCTGCTGCCATTGAGTCAAGAATATATAAAGAAAATCCAACCTCAAACAGACATGTAGTTGGAAATGGAAGGAGTATTTTGATAGCCTTCAGATAATTGTGGATATTCTTCTTTAATAATATCCACAAATTGACAAATAGTAGTTCTTTAAAGGTTACAATTACACATGACACATGAGAGTTTCTTTAAAGAGTAGTTACAAAATGGAATCAGAAACCAGAGGGATAAGGGGCTGGGGTTGTGGCTCAGTGGTGGAGCGCTTGCCTGGCATGTGTGAGGAACTGGGTTCAATCCTTGGCACTATATAAAAATGAATAAATAAAATAAAGGTGTATATTAAAAAAAGCTGTATCTGTTAAAAAAGAAAGGAAGAAAGAAACCACAGAGATGAATTTTTCACACTCTATTTCATTAAAATCTAGAAGTCTTATCTTGCACTTCATGGAATCTTTTACCTGTGCATGGTTTTGTAGCATCATGTGTTGGTCACTTCAGAAATAGTGATTCACAGGATAATGTGCATCCTCCAGATGCTGACACATTTTATTATGCAGTATCAAAAAAGCACCTTTGTTAATATTATAATCAATCTGATCGTAAAAGTCTTTAGCCATCAAGACTTGTCTAGTTCACAGACACAGGAGCAGATTTTCAAGATTCTCATCTGCATTTGAAAGAAGTAAATACTATCACTTGTCCTCTTTGAAGTGACAGGCTTGCTTTTTTTTTTTTTTTTTTCTTAAGAAAATGTCTTCCTGGTCTGGGGCTGTAGCTCAGTGGTAGAGCACTTGCCTAGCATGTGAGAGGCACTGGGTTCAATCCTTGGCACCACATAAAAATAAATAAATAAAAAAAGGTGTTGTGTCCATCTACAACTAAAAATATTTTTTTAAAAAAGGAAAATGTCTTTCAAATACCCAAGTTTGAATAATTATAGTATTTGAAGTAGAAAGGTGTTCTGTGAAAAAGGCATTTGGTTCACCTCCCAACTCCAGCCATGGCATAGGTGCTGTCCTTCAAAGGAACCTTGTACTTCCGTATGCACAAGCACTGAACGTGTACACCCCATTCTCACATCCAGTACAAAGGTGCCTGCTCTTAAGGGTCAAGACAGTGAGATGAGCACTTTTCTGCATCAGAGAGGTTGATCTTCAGTGAACTGGGTGTTTTGACGAGAGTGCACAGTGCTGAAGGGTACAGTAACTGCTGATAGTGATTGGTGCCACTGCCTTGGTTTGAGCTGAGGTTCCAGGTGGCTCTCCCCACTGTGGCTCCTGCACCATCAGTGGAAAGGGCAGTAGCATCTTAGTATTGCTATGAAAGTGTGTTTGGCCTGGCGGATCCTTGAGAGGGGTCCCCTTTGAGAACAGTTGCTCTATGGAAATGTGTATTGTTCTGAGTGCTGAGGGTCCTTTCCTGCCACTACCACTATAGATTCTTCCACTACCTGTACCTGTGGGCAGATTGGTGAGGAGCTGAGAGAAGGCCACCATGCCTCACCACTCAGTAAATGAAAAAATTGACCATAAGCATGCTGAAACATTTTTAAGATACAAGTATTTCATGAGATTTGCCAAAAGAAAAAGACATGAGAGGATGTGTGGTTTTATACAATATAGTCTACTCAGTTCCATTACAAGCTAACTTAAAAACTGAAAATAAATCTACATTCTAACTAATTCTTTTATGGAAAAGAATCTGCCTTCAGAGTCCTTAGTGTTTGGGGAGAATTGAAATTTCTCTATCTTGATAGTGGTGGCGGTCAAATTGTCAAACTTGATAGCATTATATACCAAAATAGCAAGTTTTACTATATGCAAATTTTACCCTTAAAACTGACCCCTGCCCCTGCTCACCCCCAAAGAGGTCTGTGATATGCGGCAGTGTTTCTTAGGCAAATTGGAATTGCTCCTAGAGAATCAGATTATTTTTTTAATATTTATCTTTTAGTTACAGGTGGACACAATATCTTTCTTTTCTGTTTTATTTTTTTATGTGGTGCTGAGGATTGAACCCGGTGCCTCACACATGGTAGGTAGGCTCTCTACCTCTGAGTCACAACCCCAGCTCCTAAGAAGATAAAAAAAAAAAAAGGTCAAGTTTTTGTCTATTTATTTTTATTTTATCATTATTTTTTGTGGTACTGGGTTTTGAATCCAGGGCCTTGTGCATGTGAGGCAGGTGATCTACCAGTTGAGCTATACCAGCCCCTGGAGAAGCAGATTTTTAACACCACAAAATATAGATTGTATTAGCAATAAAATGCCTACTAGAATTCTTCCCTGTGTGGGTAGAAAGGACCATCTTATTTTAATACCATCTCATGTATTTAATGCTGTTTTAACTTCTTTCTAGCCTCCTGTTTTCCACGAGCTGTTCAGCTGGGCTTACTTTACATCGAGCTCTGTGGAGGGAGAGTACCACAGGAGCGCTGATTGTTGTCACAGTAATTTTATAGAAAGTCCCATCCATTGTGCTTGTGATAGGATAAATAATACGCACAGTGTGACATCTTTATGTTAGATCTTCATGGGTTCTTTTTGACTGTTTACAGAGAATATTTTAAGAGAAATTCAACCAATTTTAAGTGTTTCTTGTCCAGCGTGTTAGCACTGATTGTTTTCTCATTAGGAAGGACTCTTCCAAATTTCACGGCAGTGGGTTGACACTGACTCTGAAGAGACCCGCTAGGTGTCATTGTGAGGTGTGGGTTGGCCTGAATGCGGCTGGCAGGAAGGGTGTCAGTCTTGGGAGGCCCCTGGCCAGCCTAGCACTGAGCGCAGGTTTGGCTGGACTCCGCAGGGCACCTGCAACTCCCAGCTGGTGCTGGAGGAGCCGTCCTCCATCGTGCAGCTGGACTACAGTCAGAAGGTGCTGCTCATCTCCACCTTGCAGAGAAGCCTGCTCTTCTACACTGAAGAGAAGTCTGTCAGGCAGATTGGAACACAGGCAAGGAAAAGGTGAGTCTCACAGGACACAGCTTGCTGTCAATGTGGAGCCTTGTGACAGAGTGGCTTTAAGGTCTCTTGGATTTCCTATTTGCAGATGTGGGCCAGTGGCACTTGGCTTGGGGTTCCGTGTGGTTCCTGGCAGCCCAAGCCTGCTGAGGACACCCTGTCTGAGTTAGAAGGGAGGCGGGACTGTTTGTGGGGAGCTACAGTGACCTTCAGGCACAGCTGCCCTGCCTCAGGGGCTAGGTCTCAGGGGCCCTGGCTCTGGCCCCACACAGCCCCAGGCATTCAGTCTCCTGAGTGCCTCTGTGCTCCTGCTGCTGGAGCACTCTGCAGTGACAGGCTCAGGTTGGCCCAGTAAGCAGGAGGATAGCCATGCTCCTCCGTGAAAACTGGAGCACAGAGAGGGCCTTGCTGTCGGTCCTGCTGACTGCTGTGGGGCAACAGAAGTTTAAACAGGCTTCTCCCAGCCTGGGGCCCGGGAAGACTCCTATAGGCCTGCAGCATTCACAATGACTGGGATTAGCCGAGTAGGACAGTGACTGGTCTGCTGGAGGGAGGACGGCAAGAGAAGGATGAGGCCCAAGTCTCTCATCACACCAGACAAGTGGGAAAAGATGGACAGACAAGTCTGTGAGCCACAGTTCACCTTCCCACCCAAGCCCAGAAAACAGCTCAGAGCCAGTTTGCTTGGGGGGGAAAGGGGAAAGGGGAGAAAGAACCAAGGAGCTGACCTTTCCTTATAGTGAGGAGGGAACAGGAAGCCATGATGGGGTGGGGAGCAGGGGTATTGGCACAGGCTGGTTGTTGGCTGGCTGGTGGGAGGAGCTCTTATGTCTCCCTTTTCTCTTCCTCAGTAAAGGGGTCTGTCCGGGCAGGGAGGAAGTCGGCCAGTGAACAGGAAGAGGTTTTGAGGCTGGCCCTGTGGAGAGTGGGGAGAATGGCAGGCCTTGTGAGAGCCCCAAGACTGGTGGTGCCGTCGGCGATGTATTATCAGGGGGGCCGGGTGAGGTCAGCCGGGTGCAGCCAGCTCTGTGGTCGCATTCACAGCCATGTCCTATGCTTTGCAGCAGAACAGTGAAAGCTGATCCTCTTTTCTACATGGTGGCTCTTCAGCTATTGAGACCCACTCCACCTCCCCTTCAGCTTGTTTTCTAGGCTGAATGCCATCTGAATTCCATCCACTCTGCCTTTTTGTAGCAGTGGTCACCACTGGTCCTGGGTCCCTCAGAAAAGTGTGACTCTGTGGATCTGGGTTCTGCCTCTCCCTCTGCCAGGACCCTTCTCTTCTGCCTGGTGCTTGGTCCTGGCCCACCTGCTAGTGTGTTCCTGCACTGTCTCCTAGAAGGATGGTAGAGTGGAAGGAGATTTGAAAGCAGTTCACTTTCATGTGGGTCACGTGCCCAGCAGACTCTCCTGAGACCTATCCCTCCAACCTGGGTAGAGACCCGGGTGCTTCTATGAACCTCTGCTGGGTGTCGTGTGGTCAGGTTTTTTGGCTGCTTTGACTGAAGGTGTGCTCTGTGCCAGACACTCATCCAGGATAGAGAAATAAGGAATATGTCCCCTTTTCAGAGGGAATGGTATTTTTTTATTATTAATTTAGTTCTAAATTATTAATTTAGTTCTTTTTTTTAAAGAGAGAGAATTTTAATATTTATTTATTAGTTTTCGGCGGACACAACATCTTTGTTTGTATGTGGTGCTGAGGATCAAACCCGGGCTGCACGCATGCCAGGCGAGGGCGCTACCGCTTGAGCCACATCCCCAGCCCTGGTATTTTTTTTAACCTTAGAAAAGCGGAGACAAGAGGGTAAAAGTTTCTGCCTCTTGGGTCTTTAAGGTTCGTCTTTCTGTCATATGTTGTCTTAGATGGTAGTTGTGGAGGGCATTGGGCTTGCCCGTCCCTGGAAGCAGTGCTTCATTCAGCAAGTGTGTGGGAATGGCTGCTGTGCAGGCAGCAGGCAGAAATGGGGCTGTGAGTGAAACGTGGGGCCCAGCCTCTGCCCTCGAACGGGCTGGCAGAGGGAGTTGGTCAGTGAGACAAGGATAGGGCCACAGTAAATGCCATGAGGGATGCAGGCAGGTGGAGACTAAGAGCCTCACCTGGGTGAGAGGATGCTTCTTACGGGGCGGGGGGAAGTATGATGTTATCTATATACTGTTACTACCTGCTTTTTTGTTTTCACTTAACCTTATGTTTCTAAGGTTTATTCTTGATTGAAACTATAGAGCTTATTTACTTTCACTGATATATAGTACTCCATAACTCATTCACTCTCTTGTTAATGGGTGCTCAAATTTTTACATTCTTTTTTAGTGCCAGGGATTTATACCCTGTTGATGGACCTTTATTTTACTCATTTATTTATATGCGGTGCTGAGAATTGAACCCAGTACCTTACCCATGCTAGGCAAGTGCTCTACTACTGAGCCACAACCCTAGGCCCAATCATATTATTTTTTAATACAGTGAAAGATAATACTATATTATACAGTATGTAGGGATATGTGGATGTGATTAAACAAGGGAACCATACACACAAAATATAGTCCAGTGGTCATAGCTGGGGCAGATGGGCAGGAAATTTTGGGGGCAGAGTACATCCGTGGTGTGGCCAGTGACTAATTTCCTAAGTTGGATTCCTGAGTGAGCATTTCCATTAGGCTTCATAAATTTTATTATATGTATTCTTTTGTGAGTGTCAGATATTTCATAATTTTAAAAATGGGGGGAGCAAAAAAAAAAAAAAAAGCCCAGGGATTCAAAAGGAACTTGTGTCCCTCTGATGGGTTTAGAGAAACTCTGAAAGGGCAACAGCATAGATGGGTTGTTGTACTCCTAGATATAAAATTTGTTCATCTAGGACATTGGCATGAACTCAGACATTGGCCACACCCGTAATCCCAGTGACTCGGGAGGCTAAAGCAGGAGTGTCTCAAGTTTGAGGCTAGCCTCAGCAACTTAGACCTTGTCTCAAAATAAAAATAGTAGGGTCTGAGGATGTTGTTCAGGGTTAAAACAACCTGGTTCAATCCCCAGTAGGCATCCCCCCCAAAATAAAAGACTTAACAGGACATTGGAGTAATCATAGTAATCATGTTAACAGGAATAGAATTTCAGAACAGGGAGAACAAGGAGCAGTCTTGGGTTTGTTGCCTTCTGCCTTGGTTTCCTCTTTTAAGTCAGAAGTTATAATATTTGTCTCATGGAGTTGTTGTGAGGATTAAATGGGAGTTTGGAGATAAAATGCCAGGCACAGGGGCTGGACCATAGTGGATACTCATTGATAGTTCAAAGAAACCAGGCTGTGTGCTCAAGGGAAAGCATCAATTATTTGGGTTTAGCCAATAAATTCTTGTATTTAGTATCAGGGGTTGACATATCTTTATCGCTTTAAATCAGTCCATGCCTGGTCTTTTCTTTCTTTTTTTCCTTCTGATTTTAGTACTGGGAAATTTGGTGCTTGTTTTATACCAGGATTGTGTAAGCAGAGTGATCTAACTCTGTATGCCTCTCGGCCTGGTCTCCGGCTGTGGAAGGCTGATGTCCATGGGACTGTTCAAGCCACATTCATCTTAAAGGACGTCTTTGCTGGGGGAGTTGCACCTTTCGAGCTATACCCACGCCTGGAATCCTGTGACAGGGGAAGTTACAGCTCCCCTGAGAAACACCTGGGGCTTGTTTCCTGTTTCTTCAGAGAAGGCTGGGTGTTGAGTTGGAATGAGTACAGCATCTACCTTCTGGACACCGTCAACCAGGTATGTGATGGGACCTACGCAAGTTTGGTGTCAAAAGAGCAAAGAGGATGTTTATCCACACAGTGTCCTTCCTCGGGCTCAGAGAGTGACGAAGCAGCACTGTTTTTGTTTTTTGGGCTTTTTAAATATATATATATATATATATATATAAATTTTTTTTTTTAAGAGAGAGAGAGAATTTTTTGATATTTATTTTTTAGTTTTCGGCGGACACAACATCTTTGTGTGTGGTGCTGAGGATTGAACCCAGGCCGCACGCATGCCAGGCAAGCGTGCTACCACTTGAGCCACATTCCCAGCCCCAAAAGAAGTAGCACTGTTGATTCTTATGTTTCACTTTTTCTTTTGGGCCAGTCAAGGAGATTAAATGAAGGATTGGTAATATTCGTAGATCTTAAAAGACAGTTTGCTTTGATGTTCATAGTCCTATGCCCTGCCAAGAAATTGTGGTTTTTATTTTTATTTAAAAACAAAATTGCCAGGCGCGGTGGCGCATGCCTGTAATCCCGGCTGCTTGGGAGGCTGACATAGGAGAATCGCAAGTTCAAAGCCAACCTCAGCAACTTCAAGGTGCTAAGCAACTCGGTGAGACCCTGCTCTAAATAAAATACAAAATAGGACTAGGGATGTGGCTCTCGAGTACTCCTGAGTTCAATCCCCAGTACAAAAAAAAAAAAAAATTAGCAAGGCACAGTGGCACACACCTGTAATCCCAGCAGTTTGGGAGGCTGAGGCAGGATCACAAGTTCAAAGCCAGCCTCAGCAGTTTAGTGAGGCCTAAGCAACTCAGTGAGACCCTGTCTCTAAATAAAATGTAAAAAAGGGCTGGGGATATGGCTCAGTGATTAAGCAGCCCTGAGTTCAATCCCCAGTAAAAAAAAAGAAAAGAAAACTTTTTCTTTGTAATCTATTTGGGTCATGTATCTTCTTCTTCTTCTCCTCCTCTGCTGCAACTAAACCCAAGGCACCTTGCACATGCTTCACAACAGGTCATGCTTTCCTCCTGGGTCATAGTGAGCACACTCAGAATAACCATCCCCAGGGCTCTCCAGTGTTACTCAGCTCCAGGTTGCTCTCCACCCTGTTCTTCTACACAGAGTGAGCTAAATCATTTTGCCAGTTTTTCCACTTTTTTTTTTTTAACTTAATGACATATCTTGGGCAATTTTCTAGCATCATTATTAAATCATAGCAGGAAACAATTTCTGTTTAAATCAGAATGATAAAAGGTCACTATTAGAGAAAGATTTAAACAAAGCTGTTTAGTTTCCGTTTCTTCTTGTCCTAAACACAGACCTTTTGCCTGGCCTTACTCCCCAGTGAAGGGTGTTCTTATTTGGTGTACATCAGCCAAATTATATTCATCTGCTCCCCATTGAAGTCTCCTTAATTACTATTACCACCCATGCCTGGAAATAGTGGTTTGGTAGAAAGAAAAGGGACCCAAGAGAAGATTCTGGCCTGTTTCTCCCTATAACCTAGAGTCTCCCATCTGTCTAACCATGACTTCCTTATCTGTAAATGGGGCATACAGGGTATTGGATTGAGGGGTCACCTTCCAGCCTTGAATTTCTTTCTTTCTTTTATGAGAGATATTTCAAGACTTCTTTTTTATTCTTTCCCTAGTTTTAGAGAACTTAACTTTTCTTCTTCCCATTCCTTTTGAACCTGATAATTAGTGGCATTAAGATACTTTGTAATTGTCCATCTGTCCTTTTCATTTCAGCTCTTACCCATTGCTTTACTCAACACTCATAATTAACTTCATTTCATAGGCAAGGACATGTTGATGGATGCCAGTGAATAGATGTTCCGGCTGTCACCTGAATCTGCACCTCCCCAGAGCAACTTAATTGACAGCTTTCAGAAACTAATGTCCTGTTTCTAGCTGTTTGTTAGGACTGCCTGAAAATTAGCAAGCAGAGAATTGAGACTTTCTTCATCTTCTGCTGTGAACTGGCCTCTTGTTTACACTATTTGCTGAAAAGCACAAACTGTCTCTAAAGCAGTGTGGAATTGGGATGTCCTGTGTGTCTGTTTTTAGCTGGGGACAGCCTTCCTCCCCTCTTATATTCATTTAGAAGTCATGAATTGCAGGCACACTGGTCTTTCCCGCAGCAGGGGGAGCTAGATGTGCTAACACTTACTTCAGCCCAGGAGAGATGTACCACATGGAGGTTTATAGGAAACAAGCCTCCAGGGAGTCCTGAGCATTGCCCAAGAATGGGAGCTGGTCAGGGAACAGTTCATGAGGATATTGCATCTGGATAAAATTGGAACTTCCCCAGCAGGACAGGAAAGAAAGCGTGCGTGGGCTGTGGAAGAATGGGACTAGAATTTGCATACATGCTCCCTGCTTGTGAAGCTCAGCTGAGGCAGGATGACCAGGCCATGGATGGCAGAGGCCCCTGCATTTGTCAAGGAGGATGAGCTTCACATTGTAAGGATCAGGAAGCCAAGCAGGCCTGAGGAGGGAGCCTGAGGGATGGGGAGAGGCTCTGCTGGCTTGGTCACGTCACCCTACTGCTAAATTGAACAACTCCAGGTCACATCTGTCAGATATTACCTGACTGGATTGACTTACTCTTAAAGATTTCAGCCAGAGACAGGGTGCTGCCTACTAACTTTGGAAGCTGAGGCAGGAGGATCACAAGTTCAGCCTCAGCAATTTAATGAGGCCCTAAGTAACTTAGCAAGACCCTGTCTTCAACCCAAAAAAAATTTTAAAAAGGTCCGGAGATGTGGCTCAGTAGTTAAGCATCCCCATGTTTAATCCACAGTACCCGCCCCGCCCTCCCCCAAAAAAAGGAATTTTCAGGAAGTGATAACAAAGTGCATCCATATTTAAATTCTTACACATGCTTTTTTATCCTTTGAACCATTACTGTTATCTAGGTTTGTGATTTTATTTATTTCTGACAGGCCACAGTTGCTGGTTTGGAAGGATCCGGTGATATTGTATCTGTTTCCTGCACAGAAAATGAAATATTTTTCTTAAAGGGAGATAGGAACATTATAAGAATTTCGAGCAGACCTGAAGGACTAGCATCAATAGGTTTGTATTTCTCATTAAATGCACCATGTGTGATGGGAAGTGCTTCTCTCTGTGGCATGCAGTTTATAGTTATAAAATTGACCATTATTCTGCCAGTTAAGTCATTGCAGTTTATTTATAGAAGAAGATGTTTGGAGTCTTCATCTTATTCTGAAAATAATATTCACAATACTTTTTTAAAAAATATCTTTATTTTTTAGTTGTAGTTGGATACAATACCTTTATTTTATTAATTTTATATGTGGTTCTAAGGATTGAACCTAGGGCCTCACATGTGCTAGGCAAGCACTCTTCTGCTGAGCCCCAGCCCCAACCCCATAATACTTTAATGAGAAATTAGCTATGTAAGGCTTAGGTTAGACCATCTCATGTTTGGAGGCCTTGTCCTCCTGGGGTGCAGATAGGAAGTTTGGGTGAGTAGAAAGGAAAAATCAAAAACCACTTGATTGTCCTGGTGTGGTGGCATACACATATCACCACAGTTACTTGGGAGGCCGAGGCAGGAGGATCTCAAGTTCAAGGCCAGCCTTAGCAACTTAGCAAGAGCCTGTCAAAAAAAAAATTTTTTTTAAAGGGTTGTGGACTATCTTAGTGGTGGCTTGTTTGCCTAGCATGTTTAAGGCTCTGAATTCACTGCCCAGTAGCACACACCTATGAATTTAGAATTCCTAGAATTCTGTGTGTTCCTATAAATTTAGAATTGCTCAGTTCTTCGGTAGGCAGGAACCTTGCTTCCCTCTGTGGCAGCTGTTATTTAGGCTGGCAAACTGGAATAAGTACACATTGACCTGGATGATCATTATTGACTTGAACTCTTCTTTCTCAGTGAGAGATGGTCTGGAGATATCAGGATGCTCGGAGCATGCCCACATGCAGCATCTGGAGAAGCCACTGGGGGCCACAGCTTCCCAGACGAGGCTCAGAGGCTCTTCCGCGGCCAGCTCGGTAGCCAGTGAGCCTCGTAGCAGAAGTAGTTCACTCAACTCCACTGACAGCAGCTTTGGGCTGCTGGCCCCTGGGGGCCAGGTAGTCCCGGAATCAGGCAAGGGCAACCAACCCTCCTCACAGAGATTCAGTGTCATCAGCTCGGAAGACTTTGAGCAGGAGCTTATTGTGAAACCTATCAAAGTGAAGAAGAAGAAGAAGAAGAAGAGGACAGGTACCAACTCATGTAGCCCCCATGGGGCAGTCTGACCACACCCTTTGGGAAGGGGCACATCTCCCCGTGTAGGAGTGTTGCTGCTTACTGAATGAGCACTTGCCCACTCAGAGAAAAGCAGAAAAGGTCTTCAGAAAACAAATGCCCTCCTCCCCAGAGGAGTTGAACTGTATAGTAGTTCACACATTAGCCAAGAAACGTGACTGCAGGCTGTGGCAACAGGGCTCTGGTTGGTGTGCTCACACCCTGCTTCAAGGGTCTGGGTTTTGTTCTTTTCCATATTTAAGTTACAGTATTGACTTATCCATGTAGATCATTTGTTAGATGAGAGAGTCGACAATCATGGATGCAAAGTCGTGGAAACAGGAAGCTCTGTGCCGGTGTGGTGATGGGACATTGCGTATACGTTCAGTGTTGGATGCTGCAAATGCGGGTTTTCACGTTGAACTTTTTATTGCTGGTACCATTTGAGCCTGCCTAGCTCAAGGTCACTGCAGTATTAAAGGAAAATGTTACCAAATTTCTAAGCATTTTAATAATTGTTAAAATTGGTGCGTGAGCAAGTTTTGTCACCCAGTTGAACACACCTCTTTGTTCCCTCCCAACTTTCTGCTTAGCATTTCTTGGGCTTCAGAGCCCATTGGTGAGTATGGTATTGTGTCCATATAAAACATCCTGCGTTGGAATAGTTTGTACTTAAGGGATTTATTCTTCACTAACTAAATATCCTTCACATTTAAATTGTGGGGTCTTTTCTTGAACTAAAAATGTGTTTTATAAGTAGTCTCTCGCTGTCAATGTAGAGTCATGTCTTTATGTGGAATCAACCCTTATTTTGAATGTTCTCATTTTAAATTAGAAGGTGGAAGCAGGAATGCCTGTCACAGTTCCCTTGAATCGACTCCCTGCTCTGAGTGTCCTGGTGATAGTCCCCTGTCTTTGAACACCGACCTGCTGTCCTTGACTTCAAGTGTTCTGGGCAGTAGCGTGGATCAGTTAAGCACAGAGTCTCCTGACCAGGAAAACAGCCTCAGTGCTGAAGTGAACACCATCCTTCAGGGAAGTACTGACCCTGAAGCATTTAGTGTCCTGGAAGTGCCTGAGTCTGCCCCTGATGTGCTGGGTGAAGGAAATGACTTTAGGACTGAAGTCCCTCCGTGTAACAGTGCACAGGAGACACATCTGCTTAATGGGGTACTGGACTTGCCCTTGCTCCCAAGGGAAGATGTGGAAGATGGTGAGATCACAGGCCTCAAAGCAGAGCCTGTTCCTGTGGAGGATGCCCTGAAGCACGAAGAGACACCCTCCCGAGAACAGGGCAGTGTTGTTGAGGCACTTGAGCTACAAGACATGGAGGCTGAAGCTCCCCACAGCACTTCTGAAGCCCCTCTCCTGGACTCACCCGTGCTGCATTCCATCCCCTGCTGGGCCCCCAGTGCTGAGCAGTGGCTTCCTGGGACTAGAGCTGATGAAGACTACACTGTAGAGGCCAGCAGCAAAGAGGACAGCCTAACCCACCTGGGAGCTCCTGGCTCCCTTGGCTCACATCCCTGGCGTGTTGTTACTGATGATGACACAGGTCAGAAAGTAACCCCTGCTTCTGAATGTGACATGTGGAGGGTGGGAGGACAGTTGACTCCTCTGGTCCCTGCCTTAGTGGCCAGCACTCATGAGCCTTCTCGGGATCAAGCTTTGACGTCCAGTGACGAGGAGGACATCTATGCTCACGGGCTCCCATCTTCATCCTCAGAGACTAGTGTGACAGAGCTCAGAGCCAGTCACTCCCTACAGGACCTGAGCCGGCCAGGTGCAGATGACGCCACACTGCTCAAGTTGGACCAGGTGTGTGACACAGGCATGGGGGCTTAATTATACCTGCTTTTCATTTTGAAGAGATGTGGAAAAAAAAATTATATTCCTACTGCAAAATGTGCAGGCCAAATATGTTTCTTTTGTTTTGCTTTTTTTTGCGGGGGAGGGTGTCTGTTTATTTCACAGTACTGGGGATCAAACCCAAGGCCTGGTGCACCCTAGACAGGTGCTCTACCATTGAGCTACATGCCCAGCCCAGGCCAAAGGTATTTGAAAGATTGGATTTGGGGGGTTTGCAGCACAGAGACTTTGAATGGCCTGAACTGCTTCTGCACTGCTCAGTGACCCACTGCCTACAGAAGCAGCATCTTGCTATCTGTTCCCACCCAGCAAGGCCAGGGCAGCATGTTCACTTAGTGTTAGCCTGGGGCCTTCTCAGAAATCACTGGGCAGAGCAATGTTTGCTGTGGTGTGGAAAGCCTCTGGAGGTCAAAGATGGGGTGCTCCCTACCCTCCACAGTCAGATACCTCCTAGACACCATCAGCAGGGACTGCAGCTATTTGCAGAACTGCTGTCTTTCAATCTCCAGGCAGTGGCCCCAAAACTCCCCAGCATGCTGTGCAGAAACCAGCTTTGGTATAGTTAGACTCCTGTGGGCCTACAGCCCCTCTAATTAAGAGGTACTTATTAACTGCTGTTGGGCATTTTATATTAAAAAGTGATTTTTTTAAGTGCTTACTTTCCTTAGCAAGTAATCATCATTAGAAGTATAAAAGCATTTGGTTTCAAAACTAACATTTCCTATAACTGTGGCTATGAGATGTAGCTGGCGGCTGGCTATTCACTTAGAGTCATGGGGGCTTTCCCCACGTTTCCACTGGGTTCTCAAGTGCTAATAGTGTGTGACTTTTGTCAGCTCTCATCATATACAGAGACTTTGTTGAGCCCTTTACAAGTTAACATACTTGCTTCTTAAAAAAAAAAAAAAAAATGAACTAGCCAGCACAGTAGTGCACGCATGCGATCCCCGCGACTAGGGAGACTGAGCAAGAGAATCCCAAGTTCAAGACTAAGCAAGAGAATCCCAAGTTCAAGGCCAGCCTCAGTAACTTGAACAGACCCTGTCTCAAAAAATAAAAAGAGCTGGGGATGTAGCTCAGTGTTAGACAGCCCCTGGTTCAATCCCCTGGTATCACAAAAAATAAAAATAAAATTTAAAAACTACAAAACAGGTACTATTGTCCCATTTAACAGAGGGAATTGAGGCTCAAAAGAGTCAAATTAGTTGTGTAAGATCACCTAGTAAATGGAAGGGCAGAATGGGCCCCAGAACCCTCTCCCATCCTCTGTACTGTGAGGCCATCAGAGTGAAGTGTCTGTTTGCTTTGTGGAGACCAGGTGGGCCTCTCATTCGGCCCTCCTGTGTGCATTTTTGAACCCACTGGTTCCCACATGCCCAGGCTGCCAGGCTGTGTTTGCTGGGGATATCACAGCACAGATGGTGGTTGTTGTGAATCCTGTCTCCTGGGCCTCAGAGTCTACAGAGGAGGCCAGGTCATGTCCAGATCTTCAGGGTCAAGTGGACTCAGTGAGGATGTCAAGTAGACAGGGCTGCAGGAAGGCCCATCAGGGCGTCAGCCAGGTAGACCTTGTTTGTGGGGCTGGTATAGGAAAGTCCTTACATAGGTGAGAGGGATCCTGGCATTCTGAGGACCGTCTCCCCTCCAAATCCCACCCCCCCTTGCCCTGAACCAGACAGCTGAAAAGCCAAGACATTCTGTGGGTATTTTATTGTGGGGAGAAGGGTCAGGAGCAAGGCTTGCCATGGTGAGCAGAAGAAGAGGTGAACACCGTTCTCGCTAAAGTAGTTGACTTCCATATTGAGCATCTGTACTCACTTAGTGAGTATATCAACTTCCTGTGCAGTTTTAGAAATTTGTTAAAGTACAAGGGATGTGTTTAGTTTTGATTTTTAAAAGAATCCTAGCAATGAAACCTTAGTGTACCAATTTCAGTTAGAATGCCTTGGCCAGGCCTTCACAGCCACCGCATATGCCACACCACATGTCTGAGGGTGGGAACAGTGCTTAGAAAGCTGGTGAAAAAGAGTGGAGAGCTGCTCCCCTGCGTACCCACAACAGGCAGACACACACAGTGGGTCTGCAGTGAGTGCTGATGTGCACCTCCTTGTAAAGTAGACTGAAGCCAGGGCCTTTCTCATGCCCAAGAAGAAGTTCAACCTGACCAGGTGTCACCCAGGGTTGCTAAGGGGTCTTATTCCAGATGTTCCTAAGTGGGAGTTCCAAAGAGAGCAGGGACCAGTCTCTGCGTGGCTTCACAAAGACCCTCTCAGCTGTATCATTTTGATGTTCTGCTCACTTTTCTCGTTGACAATAGTAGGATGGATACAGCGGTATCCCCTGCCTTGGAACTGACCCACTCTGTCCTTGTAAGTTTGCAGAGAGCTGGATGGGCTACTCGGGTCCTGGCTATGGCATACTCAGCTTGGCGGTCTCCGAGAAGTATATTTGGTGCCTGGACTACAAAGGCAGCCTGTTCTGCAGTGCACTGCCAGGCGCTGGGCTGCGCTGGCAGAAGTTTGAAGATGCGGTCCAGCAGGTGGCGGTCTCCCCTTCAGGTCGGCCTCCCGGCCCCAGCTCCCCAACTCCCCAATTCCCCAGCTCCCCAGCTCCCAGGTGCAAACAGCTTAGCACACAAGTGCAGACTGACCTTTCCTAGCAGGCCTGAGAGGTGCTTCCTCCAAAGACTGAGAATTTCTTCCTTTGCCATCAGTTAATAGTGCGATGGCTGTTCTGTTGAGCTTTTGTTTTTTTATTAATTGCAATGGCAACACATGAAGATATTTTAGTAAGCTATGTAAATAGTTCAAATTGAAGATTTTAAAAAGATATATTAATATACTATGTCCTTATAAAAATAAAGTGTATTTCTCTTCATCAGTGTCACTGAAAAGCAACTGAACTAAGGAAGACAGACCCGTGGATGTGTCGGATATGTCCAGTTTGGTGTTCTTTTTAAAGTTTGTCTCGAATGAGCTGTGTGCTCTGGGTGCACAGTCCACTCCCCAAGTGTACAAGGGAGGTCCTTTACTTTTCCATTGCCATGACCAGGTACCTTAGTAAATTCAGGCAGACATTCCCAAAAGAGGGTCTGCTAATTTGTTTTAATTTATTGGTTGATGCTAGGGATTGAACCCAGGGGCATTTTTACCACTGAGCTCCATCCCTGACCCTTTTGGTTTTTTATTTTGAGACGGGGTCTTGCTAAGTTGCTTAGGTCCTGGAATTATAGCGTGTTCCACCAAAATGACTCGGATTCGTTTTGCTTAATCCTGGCCATTTCTCTATGTATTCCAGTGTGGTGGGGTGAATGGAATGGAAGCAGATGGGTTTTGCCTTGAAGTGGGAGTCAGACAAGGCTCCTGTAACTTTACTCTGAACTTCTGTGTACTTGCCCTTGTCCCTGTCACCATTTTAAATACCAGTTTGTTTAGGGTTGTTTTGTTCGCTTTCTTTCACTCCTGGCTTGGAACTTACTCTGTGGAGACTGACTGAGAGAGCAGCCCCTCCACTAGCTGGTGCTGCCTCTTAACTGTTCTCCTGTTGCCTCTGGGTTCATTTCCCCAGCCACTTAGAAACTTTGGTTTTCTCCTGTTCACATTAATTATTTTGTATCTCCCAGCTCTTCAGTTCCTTATTGCTCTGGTTGGAGCTCCCCATTTCTGTTGAGATTAATGTTGTCAACTGAGATGTCCTTCAGGGCCCATATCTTTGAGGGGCACTAGGGCCCCCATGCTGTGTGGTGTTGGGGAGTACCCAGGCCTAGCCACCTGACAGAACCCCTGCTCCAGCCCAGCTTGCTCTCAGCCGGTGGTTCCTCACCTTGCCTGCCTTGTCCGGTACCGCTCCTCCATCTGGAGGGCCTGTCTGCATCCTTCCAATATACAGCTCCTCCTTCCTCTCTTCCTCAGAATCCCCTTCAATCCGTCTTTTTTGTGCATGTCTTCCATTTAGCCGGCCCAGAAGTGGTCCCTCCCTCTGAATCCCTGAAGGCAGGATATCTATCAGGGTACTTCCTCCGTCCAGGCTACAGGGTGTCTTTCTCTGCCCTGTGAGATGCTCAGCTCCACATGCATGTCATGGTTCTCCCCTCATCTCCAGGCTTTAGACCAGCCTATAAGGTGGGAGGTGATCCCATTTCACAGATAAGGAAATTGAGGCTTGGAGACATCCAGGACTTGAGGCCCAGAGACACAGCTGGCAGGCGGTGGCCAAGGGTTCAAGCCTCAGCATGGTTGGCTGGAACCAACAGGATGTGAGTTAGAAATCTCTCCCTTACAGGACCCAGAGTACAGGTTTTTGTTTAGGAAATTCTAGTATTTATTGGATGGTGAGTAGGATTCTTATTTCCACAGGAGCCCTTCTCTGGAAAATTGAGCAGAAATCTAACCGTGCTTTTGCTTGTGGAAAAGTCACCATCAAGGGGAAGCGGCACTGGTATGAAGCCCTGCCCCAGGCAGTGTTTGTGGCCCTGAGTGATGACACGGCCTGGATCATCAGAACCAACGGAGACCTGTACCTACAGACAGGTGACCGAGGGCTTGTTTAGCACCTCCGCTTCTTGAGTGCCTGCTTTGTTAGTAACACATAGTTCAGAAGCTCACCACCCGTTTACACAAAAAAAAACTTTTAGGAGTTTGCCATTTCCTGATATTGACACAGATTTGGGACAAATTGAGGGGGTTTTTAGCGAGATACAAAAGCAGAATCTTCTTGTGGCTAACCATTGCAGATCACATATCCTGTGATATCCAATCTTTAGAGGGAAGAAAAACAAAGTAATGACATTAGAGTCATCTCCCCCTTGAAGCTTGAGTGGCTGGATTTTTTCCAGCCAGGTCAAAGACTGGCTCTATGTGCTTATTTACATGTTGTCAGAGAAAAACAAGAAATACATGCTCTACATAGAAGTTCAGCTTGTCCTAGAAAACTCTTTAGTTTTAGGGAAACCTCCAGCTGCTAGGTGTGGCACAGTGGGACTTGTTTATTATAAACAAATTGCAATATGAGCGAGTGTTCATGTACTGTCAGCACAATGGGAAACGGTTTGCCAACAACATTGTGACATTGTGATCTCTCTTTTTTTTTTTTTTTTAAGAGAGAGAGATAATTTTAATATTTATTTTTTAGTTTTCGGCCGGCACAACATCTTTGTTTGTATGTGGTGCTGGGGATCGAACCCGGACCGCACGCATGCCAGGCGAGCACGCTACTGCTTGAGCCACATCCCCAGCCCAACATTGTGATCTCTTGATACCTGTGAAGGACTTAGGGGCAGAGAAGTTATGTTCGGGTTGTCAAGAGGTTATATTGGATTTATGTAAAGATTAGTTTTCTAATCATTTAATATTGCTAGTTCCAAAAGCATGATTTATCTGTTGTGAACCATCAGCTGCGGGTGGTTCTTGAGATTGAAAGCTCTGGCTGGCTTGGCTCTCTCAGGTGTCCAGGAGCCTTGAGCACATGGTGGGCAGCCTCTCCAGCTTCAGGCCATTTCAGATCCTGCTCTCCAACCTAGTTCTTCCATCTTCCTTTAAGTGAAAATGGGTGTAGCAAGGCATAGACACATTTAGCTTCCAAAACTTTGGGATTGGGACGTGGGGAAGAGGTGATGCTTTTGGCCTGGGGATGAAGAGAAGATGACTCTTAGCCAGGAGTGCCAGCACAATTACCAGGGCAGTAATTTCTGATGAGCCCCAGCTGAACCTATGCATTAGCGCCTGTGGGTTGCCCAAGAATGTACAATGAGAAATCCTGCAAGTGACTCCCATCTGGGTAGTACTGTGGGTGCTTTTATGATCATAGCACTGAAACCTAATTGCAAGCTGAGGCTATTGAACACAAGGTTTTAGGTGATAGCTGTTCTGCCAGCTCCCTTAGGAGTGGCCTTTGAGCTCACTTAGGTTACAATTACGACAGACAACAGGAAGAGGGGAAGAGCCAGGGACAGGGAGTCAGGGAGGGAGCTCTGGCCCTGCTACAGACTTGCAGTGTGACTAACAGACCTCAGATTTCATCTGGGAAGTGAGGGGTTTGCATCTAGCACTGGTGAAAGCAGAGAAAAGGGGAGCTGCTTTGTTGGCTCGAGGCCCTGCAGCAGCTGAGGCCCGAAGGGGCACAGCCTTCCTAGTAAAAGAGACCTGCGAACTTTTTTTTTTTTTCCGGTACTTGGAATTGAACCCAGGGCAAGTACTCTACCTTTGAACTTCATCTCCAGTCCCTTTTTATTTTTAAATTTTGTTTTATTTTTTTAAAAATTTGTTTTTGCAGTACTGGGAAATGAACCCAGGGTCTCACACAAGTTAAGCAGACACTCTGCCACTGAGGTCCACCCTCTGCCCTTGTGTTTTTATTTCAAGACAGGAACTCACTAAGATGCCCAGGCTGAACTTGAACTTGTGATCCTCCTGCTGCAGCCTCCCACATAGTTGGGATTACAAACATGCACCACCACACCTGGCTTCTCCAGAACATCTAAAGTTACCTTGGGACAGCAGAGAATTCTGAATTACAATCCTTTAGTTCCAAAGAGTATTTAAAATTGCCTTAGACACATGTCATGTTGAAGCAAAATTTAACTACTTTTTGTTGGCTAAACCTTCAAAATAAAGGCACTCATTATGAAAGAATATGGCAAAGTACTAGAAAAGAAAAATATGCAAACATCAGATTCATGGTAGAGTGTGAAGTACTGATGTTGCATCCTTAGGCCCTCTGTTCCCTTTTGTTGGCAGGTCTCAGCGTGGATCGCCCCTGTGCCCGAGCCGTGAAGGTCGACTGTCCTTACCCACTGTCCCAGATCACAGCCCGGAACAGTGTGGTGTGGGCACTGACAGAACAGAGGGCCCTCCTGTACCGGGAGGGCGTGAGCAGCTTCTGTCCAGAAGGGGAGCAGTGGAAGTGTGACATTGTCAGGTAAGGCCAGGCACTGTTTTTGTCCTCTCCTGTGTTCTCCTCAGCGTGACTCTCCACAAGCCACTCATGCAGGTCTTTCTGGGCAGAGCCAACCCCTAAAGGTCTCATGATGATAGACTTCTCTTGAGTTGTCAGAGTTAACTTCGAAAGCCTGGTCTGGGGACACTCTTTGCCTGCCTCTGCCAGCAGACAGGGCATCAAGTTGGAGCTGTTTTTAAAATGCTGCTGCCCTGTGTTACCCTGAGCCTCAAAGTCATAAGTCTCTCGTGGTCATCTCCATTCAGAACTGCCTGTTGGCAGATGGTTTCTGTTCAGTCTACAATGGCTTAGGTCCAGATACTTTGTTGTATTTTCATTCTAGTCAATTGAAATTTAGTCCTTAGGAATAATCAGACCAGGACGGTCTTGATTTGAATTTAGGCAGCCAGTGAACCTTCAGGGAGCAGTGCTGTGAGCCAGGATGGCTGAGACTTGGCTCTGCCATCATCAGCTGCCAGTCCAGTGGTGAGCCACATAATAGTGGACACCAGTTAGTCCAGAGGGTCTTTGATGGGATGTGGAGTGCATGGTGCCAAGGAACTGTAGACTGCCTGCAGAGGCTGGGAGGCAGTATGCCACTAGAAGCAGTAGCTGAGCCTCAAAGCTGTCATGAACGTGCCCAGAAGGAGGAAGAGATAAACCCTGCATAGAGGGCAGCATCTACCTGGGGCCGGCTGCATGACATCACTGGGCCCATGAGGGAGTTCGCGGTAGATTACTAGGGGAGGAGAGGGTAGTGATGGGGATGCTTTTGGCCTGGGATGACGTCAGCACCCACTCACACTTGTCTTAGGTAGCTGTCTCTCCATAGCTTTCCCCACCATTCTGGCTCTTGAACAACTACTGCACATCTGGACAGTTTCTGTTGCACAGTTGTGTAACTCACTCACACCTAGCAGGGGCATGTTTCTTCTTCATGGAAGCCCACCAGGACAGACGCAGTGGGGCGGCCCTGACTCTGGGGACTGAATCTCGTGTTCTCTTGCTCATTTTTAGTGAAAAGCAAGCTTTGGAGCCTGTCTGCATAACTCTCGGGGATCAGCACACCTTGTGGGCTCTGGACATTCGTGGAAAGCTATGGTTCAGAACTGGCGTGGTTCCCAAGAAGCCGCAAGGAGATGACAGCCACTGGTGGCAAGTAGGTGCTCTGGGCTTGGCCAAGGGCTCCGCTTCCTTTCTTCCTCCCCTCTTCCTTAGGAGGCTGGATTATATGAACAGTACTCACTCTTGCTGTTGTGGGCCAGACACTTGGATTTGAGCACATGTGAGACACAAGGACTTGTCATCAGGGGTAACTCGCCATGCTTTCCTTGTTTAAGTAATGCAGATTTTATTTGTTTATTTATTTAGACATTCATCATTATAAGCTAAGTAAACCCAGTGGCAGCCATCTGAAGACCTAGGTAATAGTGATGTTTAATTTGGAACAAATATACTACGAAAAGAGAAACCCAACCCACAGTTAAAATCCATCTGTTAACAATTGCTTGAAAGACCTCTTAAGTCAGTGATGTTTCAACAGAGAAAGGAGAGTTTCCCACATGCTCCTTGACAGGAGGATGCTGTGAGAAGCCAGAGGGAGTAGTCAAGCAGCACCCACTTTCCCCCTTAATAGCTTCGCTTCCCGGTCTTCTCTGTGGTCATGAGGTAGCCCTGACAGTTGTGAGATACGTTACATCTTATAGTTGGGTGGGCTTGTTTGTTTCTGGGGATGGAACCCAGAGCCATATGCATTCTAGACTCTACCACTCTACCACTGATCCACACCTCCAACCCCTTTTTATTTTGAGACAGGTCTCACTAAGTTCCCCAGGCTGGCCTTGAACTTGTGATCCTCCTGTGTCAGCTTCTGAGTTTCTGAGTCCCTGGGACGACAAGCATTTCCCACCACACCCAGCTCGATGCCTTCCGTTTTACGTCTCTGTGTCTCTGTTGGTTCGGGTTTTATTGTCTCCTCAGATCTGCCTTGTTGAGGTGTGCCATGCACTGTCTGCTCTGCCAGATGAGAACTTGAGAAAATAAGTCACATTTGCTCCTTGATAAACATGTATATTGCATGTATCTGTCTCTAATGGGATATTCTAGGTAATATTTATAAAGTTAAGTGATTTTAAAATACCTTCTGTGTACTTATAACCATATACAGATACACACATGTATATGCACATCTATATGTGTACTAAATATATATATGGTTTGTGTTTTGGGGGTACCAGGTTCCTTTATTTGAAGAAATGATACAAATTAAAGCACTTACATGGATGCTTTGGTACAACTTATAGAAAAGGTAAAGGTACCCCAACATGCATACACTGCCTTGGTGACCAGAAAAGTCATTCCATGACTGTGGGGGGTCAGCCTGAGGCTTAGCTCTCATCATCACTGCCTTCGTGGCTGTGCTTGTCGAAGAGATTCTGCCATGCCTCCTTCTGGGGCTGCCATCTTGCACAAGTTGTCTTCATGGGCACCCGATTCTTTGATTTCACCTGCTCACACAAGTGATGAGTCTCTATGCAATTATGCAAGTGGAGGTCGTTTTTGTCATGGCCACCTCATGCAGTTCCAGGGTTCCACTCTTCCCATTTAGAGAGCATCCTATTACATTCAGCCCCACCCCCCAGTCGAGATGGTCTGGTTTCTTGCCCTGCCCCCTCCCCTCATGAGATTGGTGAAGAACATGTTTGGCAAAGTTCTTCAGAGCCACATCATCACAGAGTAGTAAGACATGGACAAGTCGGCACAGGAAGCAGTTGACAATGGCCTCCCAGTCCTGGGGTAGTTCTGATGTGTCTGCAGGGAGGTGGCTGAGGAGAGGTGTGGAGGCCTGGGGTGGTGAGGGCACTGAGGAGGTAGTGAAGGCTGCTGGCTCAACAGTGGGTTCTGTACAAGCACTGTCAAAGCAGGAGACGACTGTGCCACTTCACAAAGAAGAGCTGGCTAAAATCTGTTTTTTAAGTAGCATAAAGAAAGCTGTGGGCTGGGGTTGTGGCTCAGTGGTAGAGCGCTCGCCTAGCACAGGCGAGGCCCTGGGTTCAATCCTCAGCACCACAGAAAAATAAATAAATAAAGGTATTGTGTCCACCTACAACTAAAAAAAAAAAGAAGAAGAATATTTTTAAAAAATGGACTGGGGTTATGGCTCAGTGGCAGAGCACTTGCCTGGCATGTGTGAGGCCCTGGGTTCAATCCTTAGCACCACATATAAATAAATAAAGTGAAAAATCCATTGGCAACTAAAAAATATTAAAAAAAAAAAAAAAAAGAAAGAAAAAAAGCTAGAGGTGAGGCGTGGTGGCACATGCCTGTAATCCCAGCGGCTCAGGAGTCTGAGGCAGTAGGATTGTGAGTTCAAAGCCAGCCTCAGCAAAAACAAGGCTGCTAAGCAAATCAGTGAGACCCTGTCTCTAAATAAAATATAAAATAGGGCTGGGGATGTGGCTCAGTGGTCCAGTGCCCCTGAGTTCAATCCCAGGTACCCCCTGCAAAAAAAAAAAAAAAAGAAAGAAAGAAAGCCAGATCTCACTGGGGATATACAATGCTTGCCTTACATATGTAAAGCCCTGGATTCAATCTCTAGCACCACCAAAAAAGAAAAATTCATTTTCAGAAAGGTAGATCTCATTTCATCATAATATTTATAATATTACCTTCAGAGAAATTTTATTTGACAGAACCATTTTGAGACACTTTGCAGCAGAGTTATTTTAAATATTATAAGATTGATTTATTGTAGCCAGTGTTTAGCTGCTAAATTTTTCCATTCTCTTGTGATCTGCATTCTGCTTTTTTGCACATCTTGAGTGCTGGGGATGAGTCTGACATATTTAACGGATACCCTTGGCAGTGTCTTTACTCCCCAGGTCGGGTGAGTGTCATGCGCAGCAGTGCAGGCCCTTAGCCAGGACTCTGCTGTCTGCCACTCAGCAGCATGGCTGCCAGCCTCAGGGCTGCAGCACCTGCATCCTGCCACTCACTCCAGAGCACTCTGATGCAGATGGCACAGCCATGCAGGAGAGAGCTTACAGAGTTTTGAATGTGGCAGCAGCTCTGCAGCAGGGTCTGAACCCCGTGTGGTTAAAACTGTATCAGGGCCCGGGGTTGTGGCTCAGTGGTAGAGCATTTGCCTAGCATTTGTAAGACACTGGGTTCAATCCTCGGCACCATATAAAAAAAAATAAACAAACAAACAAAAAAACCAATCTGTGTCAACTTGAGTTAGGACAGCTCTCATAGCCACCCTAGTCCTTTCACAGACAAGAAAGGATAGTATTGAGCCAGGCATGGTGGTGCACACCTGTGATCCCAGCGGCTCTGGAGGCTGAGGCAGGAGGATTACAAGTTCAAATCCAGCATCAGTAGGGAGACCTGTTTCAAAATTTAAAAATTTAAAAAGGGCTGGTAAAGCCTGGATGTAATCCCTGGAATCGAAAAAAAGAAGTAGTGTGTGTTGTATTTTCTTTTTGTTTGTTAATTTTTTTTTAATATTTATTTTTAGTTTTCGGTGGACACATCTTTGTTTGTATGTGGTGCTGAGGATCGAACCCGGGCCACACGCATGCCAGGCGAGCGTGCTACCACTTGAGCCACATCCCCAGCCCCTTTTGTTTGTTAATTTTTAAGTTTCCTTTAATAAGTAACATCACTCTCAGCATTCATTTTGCGTGACTCCTAGAGGGAGTGAGCATCTGTGCAGGAGTGGATCTCTGTAACTGAACCCTGCAGAACTATGAGAGAAAGTCATGCAGTCATAAAGAACTCACTTTCAGTCACAGCCACCCAACAAGGGAGAAGTCCCCTCAGGGGAAGTGATTGCCTAGAAAAGCATCTCTGGAGGTGTCTGTGCAGATGCTTTCCAGGAATGTTATGGAAGCAAGTTCTGCCTCTGAGCCAGGAGACTTGTAGGTGCCCAGAGGTATCCTGGTTTATGCTGGTGGCTTAGCGTGAATGTTGGTAGTCCTGGTTTAAGACATAAATTACTTCATCCTCTTACTTATAATACTTTTTTAATTCATTATTAGTCTAAATGTTGTATATTATTGTCTATTGGCAAATCTGAATTTAAAAGCAAAATTGTTCTTGCTCATTTTCATTAGAATAAATGACTTAGAATGAGTGGGAAGGAATGCTGTTTCATCACAAAAATAATACACCCTAGTAACTGATCCAAGTAATATGGAAGTATGTAAAATACAATGGAAACATTTTCTTCCACCACTTTCTTTTTATTCTTTCTAGTTACAAATAACATTAAGATACCTTTTGACCTAATCAAAAAAGCATGGAGGGCTGGGGCTGGGGCTGGGGCTCAGTGGCAGAGTGCTTGCCTAGCATGTGTGAGGCACTGGGTTCCATTCTCAGCACCGCGTATCAATAAATAAAATAAAGGTCCACTGACAATTAAAAAAATTGGAATATAATTTGCTCTAATTCAGTCCCCAGCACTTTCTCCCTCCCCTTCTCCCTCCACCCTACTGATCTTTCTAATTTATTTATAGGTTTTTTTGGTTTTGTTTCGTTTTGTTTTTTAGTTAGTGTCCTCCACCACTTTCAATCCCACCCTGAAGCAGTGGCAGTTAGTAGCTTGTTGTTCCACACTCCCAGCCCTCTCACAGACCCCGTATACACGTGTGTGTTTGGGTGCCTGGCCATCATTACTGGAGATGCAGATGTGCGGATGTGGCAGAACCTTGCTTGGCGGCAGAGCATGTGCTGGCAACTGCGCTGACACAGGTCTTTGCTCTTCTGCCCCTTCCAGGTGAGCATCACGGACTACGTGGTGTTTGACCAGTGCAGCTTATTCCAGACGATTATCCAGGCCACACACTCGGTGGCCACAGCAGCCCAGGCGCCTGTAGAAAAGGTAGCAGACAAACTGCGCCTGGCATTTTGGTCTCAGCAGCTTCAGTGCCAGCCCAGCCTGCTGGGAGTTAACCACAGTGGCGTCTGGATCTGCGCAGGCAAGAATGAGTTCCACGTGGCCAAAGGAAGTCTCATAGGTGGGCAGATCACTTTGTTTTCAGATTGGCTTGATAGGCAGCTCCAGTTTATTTTATCTAATTAATTAATTTTTTTGTGTGGTGCAGGGATCAAACCCAGAGCCTCCTGCAGAAAAGCTTTTAGATTCCATCTTGAAAGGTAGTGCAGCACTAATGGCATGGAGCTTCTGGCATGGGGGCACTCTGCCTCGTTGATCACTGCTCCCCCGTGTTCTGTTTTCAGTGTGTCATTCCTAAAACTTGGACCCATTTTCTAGACATTGTATAATCAGTTTCCTCTTGTAACCTATTGTGATATAAGAAAAGCAAATGGTGCCCACTTTTATGTTAATAATTTCACATTTAAAGGGAAACATCTATCCAAGCCCACAGAGCCTAGTAGTGAGAATGGTCCATTTCCTGGAGGGAAATTATCACTCCTATAGGACATACAAGGTACCAGCCAGATCTGTAAGTGAACCCTTTCTTAATAAATTGGCTCTAGCTCCTCCCCCATTGATCTCCCTGGGCCTCTGCAGACAAGATGGGGCCCAGACTGACCATGTTCATGGAAATGCCCTGGCTCAGACTGTTTAATCCCAGGACAATAGAATCAGCTGTAAGTGGTTTTGTGGGCAGCTATAGTCTAGAACTAAAACTGAAATGTTTTCATCTTTTTCTTTCTTTAATTCATTATTTATTCTTTCCAGGCACTTATTGGAATAATGTCGTTCCCCGGGGGACAGCTTCTGCAACCAAATGGGCCTTTGTGTTGGCTTCTGCTGCTCCCACCAAGGAAGGTGGGTCAGCCTGTAGAGAAATATAGTGCATGGTTTGGTAGTTGAAAAAGTTCAGACTATAGTCTGACCATAGCCCAGTGGGTGAGGAGATGCAGCCATGCAGTTCTTGAAACAGAGGATATGACAGTGTCTCAAGCCAGTAGCCCTGGTAGGTGAACCAAGGGTCTGTGCTGGATAGCCTGCTCAGAAGAGCCTCCAGGGGGTGGTCAAGGTGGCTGAGACTGATGCAGAGTGTCTTTGTGAAGGAGAGACTGTGCAGTGTGGTCACAAGGGCTGGTAGCAGGTCACCCAGCAGCAAATTTCAGGGGCCATAGCTTCTTTGGGCACCTTCCCCATTTGCCCTGGATAATTCTTATGTTACCTCTAGCAGCCTCTGTCTACCCTGAGTACCACACTCGTGCCCCAATGAAGGGCACAACTCCTGCCGCTTTGTGTCTGTGCAGAACCCATGGCCCCTCACAAAACATGGCTTTGGAGTCAGGAGAAACGGTGCTGCTACCAGATAGCTGGGAGCCCCAGCAGTTAGGTGACCTGTCAGGGCCTCCTCCCAGGGTTGCACTTTGGGTCAGCAAGAAAACACCATAAGTCTATGAATAAGGAGGAAGCAGCGTACTTAGTTCAAGCCATCAGTCTGCAGCATGTGGGTCACTTGGTCAGCGTAATTCGTGCTTACTCACTAGCTTGCTCTGGTCACAGTTCTGCCAGAAATCTCTGAAAATGTTAAGTTGTTCCTGGGTTGGCACAGATTCACTGGGCACAGTGACTGACCTGAGCTGATGGGTGGCAGCTTTCAGTCTCTACTGACCCTCTCCTCATGATGTCATGGGTGTGCTGCAGGCACATTGTCACACTTCCCCGGGAGCTGCCTGGCTTTTCTGCAACTGTTGCACAGACATATGGCAGGCCTTCCCTCAGGTTTTCAAAATTCAATAAATGATCAAACCCCAAAACAAATCTCACCACAGGTTTTAAATAATACTCCACTTTCATACTGTGACTAAGGGTTTAACTTCTTCAGGGATTATTTGCATTTTAAACAGTATCTAAAATCTCACTGAAATGGTAGAGGGACTGAAGGGTCATTTTGAGGCAAGGCTGGAAGGAGGAGATTTCCAGCTTTCCAGGTCTTGTCCTGCTTGGTTAGTAGAAGGGTGGGGACAGCACCTTGGTGCTCTCCTCCTGCAGAACTGCTGCTCCCACTTCTGCAGGGGACTGATGCTGATGCTTTCGGAAAGGTCCTTCCTCTTGGTAAGGTCTGACAGTCTGTTTTTAAAGTCTGTGTTAAAGGCTTCCCAGCCTGATGTAAACGGGAGCCACATTATAGCCTTCATAAAACCTTCTAAGTCCCACTTTCTTTCCATTTCTTTAAAATATCTGAGGCTTAATTTGGCTAACCAGCTGGTCATGGTGTTTTCTCTAACTTAAAGTACATGGAAGCCCCTGCCCTCCTGCCTTGGTGAGTATGGAGTATGAGCCAGCCAGCATCTGCGGACAGTGTCAGGTGTGTGTGCCTGAAGGTAAAGCTGCCTTGTGCATTGAGGGCAGGTGGCTTGTTGCAAACAGGGCACCGTCATAGACATGAACCTTTTCCACAGGAAGCTCTTTGTGGCTGTGCCAGAGCAGCAAGGATCTGTGCAGCATCAGCACCCAGAGCCCAGAGAGCCGCCCCTCCACAGTGCAGCTGCCCCCCGACGCTGAGATGAGAGCCTATGCTGCCTGCCGGGATGCGCTGTGGGCCTTGGACAGCCTCGGCCAGGTGTTTATCAGGACGCTATCCAAGAGCTGCCCCACAGGCATGCACTGGACAAGGTTGGACCTTTCCCAGCTAGGTATGACCGTCTTGTCAGTGTGCTTGCTGGATCCCGATTGCCTCAGGGCCCTGAATTTGCCTTGGGTGAATTCTTGGATGTGATTTTCAGGTGCTGGGTTTTAGGAGATTGGTTGGTCACTCTTCCGGATGAAATGGGCCTCTTGATTTTGTGAGGCGGTTCACCCGCTACCCTTGGGTATTCAGAAGTTGCTACTAAGAATTGCGTACAGCAGCACTGTTGGCGCAGCTGCCTCTGTCAGTCTGTCTGAACATGGGTTGTAGCTCTGTGACCTTTAAATCTGGAAAAGGGATGTGCCCTGTGCGTGGACCAATGGCACATTTGTCTGCGCCTCGACATCTGGGAGAGCACCCAGTGCAGAGGCTCTCAGCACGTGTCTAGGGTTCTCATACCCAGGGCAAGAAGATGTGCCACTAACTGCAGCTCTTCTCTGGGCCCAGGAGTTAGAGTAGGCCAAGTAGTACGGCACAGTTTGCAGATAGTTCATTCATAGTCCACGAAGTACTAAATAAGCCATGACATAAGATCATTCTCTAAGTAAATTCCTGACCAACTAGGAAGTTTGAGTGTGGTTTATATGAAGGTGGAGGCCACAGCAGATGGCTCCCAGGGTGGGGTGCCCTCCCTTGCAGCAAGGGCTCCTGCTGTTGTGCACCCACAACCAGTGTTCTGAATTGGACAAGTGTCCAGTGTCAAGAATACAACCACGGAGACTCACAAAAGAAGAGGATGAGGAAGGAAGTAAGCAAGCAGAGAGGCTGGCTGTCCCTCCTTGCCCAGGCCCTCCTATATGGCAGGGTCTCACTCTTCATAAAGTTGGTGTTGCCCTGAGCAAGCCTGGCCCAGCACAGAGCCACTCTCGCTTTTGGCACCAGGACTCCTACAGGCTGCTGGGTAGAGATCAGGCCCCTGAACCTAATCCGGCTGTTCCTGAAGCAAACCCTGCCACAGCTAGGGATTTTCCAGGGTATTGTGAGTAGTTGTGCTTTGGGCTTTCTGGACCTACTGGTCACTTTCTGGCTTTCTGAGAGCCTTTGCCAGACAAGGCTGTAGCTGGTAGTGATCTGAACGCTGGTGCTGCTGTCTGCCCTGGGAAATCTCATCTGTCCAGAGACCCACTGGTCCTTAGCCCTTCTCTAGTCATCCTTACCAGGCCCATTGGGAGAGGTGCTAGTTCCTCTGGAGGTAGAGCTGGGGGAAGCCATGCTCATTTGCACACTTTGGGTCAGGAATGAAACTATTTCACCAACATCACCCCCACCTGGATCCTCCAAGGGAAGGCCATCACACTGCAAAGGGGTGCACATCGAGGGGGCATCATGCAGGTGCCACGCCATTGCAGCCCACTCTGCCTGGGCCTTCCATCCCCACATGGCCCCTGCCTGCACCTGGTTCAGTCTAGTCCTGCTAGCCGTGCTAGGGTGTTCCAGTCTCTGAGGTGTGCATTTGGGCTTCCTGGGAAAGTGACCACTCTTTGCAGAGGAGAATCCTAGGTTCAGCAGGATTGAGTCTCAACTTAGGAGGGAGAGGAAGCAAGAACAAGACAAGGACGGGATGCAGCTCAGCTGGTAGAGTGCTTGCCTCGCATGCACATGGCCCTGGGTTCAATCCTTAGCACCAAAAAAAAAAAAAAAAGACAAGCCTGAGTCTAGGATGTGTTGGCCCTGTGGTGTTTCATAGGTGCTCTCTGAGGGCTGGATGCGTGAATAGAAAGCAGGACATAGTGGCAGACACAGTGCCAGCTGTGTGCAGAGAGCTGGGCCCTAGGCAAGCTACTCTTCACCTTCAAAGATGACGCTGTCTCGTCTTTCTAATGGGAACAGGAGCCACCACCTCACCCCACACCACCCAGAGATGATCCAGCAAGAGTCCCATCTAAGTGTGAGCTTTCTTGGCATCACAACTTACTGAGGAACACTCTCAAGCCCTCAGTATTGGGCTGATCCTTGGACTGCTGGGTGCACAGTCAGATGGCTGGGCTTGCACCACTGGGCAAGCAGTTGATTCCAGCATCCTATGTTGAAAAGCTCTGCCATTTTTAGTCTATCTCGCTTTCAGTTTTAGATCTTATTCATTTATTAGGTTATTTGGTTGATGCTGGAATGACGAACAGACTCCTTGCACCACTTTCTCATAAACCTGAGGAGCACGGCAGTCTAGAGTCGGTAGATTTTCTGCTGGAGCAGGGCAGGGCAACAGGGCGCAGTGGGAGGGGTGCTGGCCTTCACCCGGCTGGCAGACCAGGGCACCAGGTGTCCTCTTACAAGGTCCACTCCAGGCATGTCTGTGCAGCCATGGGGAGAAGAGGTGGATCAGGAGAGCTTTGAAAACATTTGTTTAAGTTAGGGATTTCAGATTCTGAGGTGGGGTCAGTTCTCTGCCCAGGACCCCACATCTGATGTCCTTGGCAGGTGTCTTCAGGCAACATTGACTAGTGCAGCGTTGTCTGGTCAGCACTAATGTGCCTGGGCTACTCCTCTGGGATGAGCTGCGATGCAGCATTGTGCTATAAATGCCAGCCCTGGGGTGCCGTGGCAGTGAAGGGACCGTGGCCTTTTCAGGACCAACTCTGCCTTTGAGGATTCTGTTCAGTGTCAAACTGATCCTTCCCAAACTTGTTTGGTTTTTGTTCTTGTTGTTTTGTTTTGTTTTTTCTTTTTCTTTTTCTTAGAACAATACATTGTCTTTATTTTATTTTATTTTTTTTAAAGAGAGAAAGAGAGACAGAATTTTTTAATATTTATTTTTTAGTTTTCGGCAGACACAACATCTTTGTTTGTATGTGGTGCTAAGGATCGAACCCAGGCCGCACGCACGCCAGGCGAGCGCGCTACTGCTTGAGCCACATCCCCAGCCCCTTGTTTTGTTTTTTCTGATTTCACTCTACTCCCACTGAATTCTGAAGGGAAGAGCAGAGTCCGGTCTGTCTGTTTGCTCATTTGCTTTGTGCAGTGCTAGGGATCAAATCCAGGGCGGCATGCATGCTAGCCAAGCATGCCACTGAGCCGTGCCCCCAGCTGGGCAGAGCCCTCTTGAGCAGTTTCTGCTTCACCACTGAACAGTCCAGCCAGCGGTGGTCGTTCCTTCTGCCTCAAAGACTCTCCCATGCTATCTGGCCCTCTCCTCCCATCCTCCCACAGTCACTGTTGGAGCCCCCTCCTGACAGGACTGTAGGACTGCAGTATCCACCCAGAGCACCAAGTATGCCCACTTCCTCCCATGCGGCCAGCACTGTCTTCCTAAAACACAGTTCAGGTGGTGTTGCCCTCAGTGTCAAATGGCTCCACAGTGCCACCTGAATAAAGCTGTCATCGCTGAGATGGCACCCAAGCCCTCAAAATTGATCCTGACCTGCCCCGCCCAGCCTCTTGCCACTGCCCCGCTGACGCCCTCACTGTGAGCACTGCCTTGCCTGCTGTTGGCTTCTCTCCGGGGCCTAGAGTGCCCCTCCCTGGACTTTCCTGCCTTTGCCTCTTCCTTCAGGACTCAGCTGAGATTGCCACCTGACCCTGAACTTGCCTCAGTCCGGGTCCCCACCTTGACACTTCCCCACAGTGTTCCCTGAGCACTCTGCTGCTGCCTCTGGTGCCGCAGTCATTTGAGTCCACCTTGCTATTTTCGTTAGCCATCTGCTCATGGAAGACGGAGGCTTTGTAGGCAGGGACCAAATGCTTGACCACAGTATATACCCAGTAAGATTTTTAAATGGCAGAAAGTAGTATTTACAACTCCATTTCTAAGTAATTTTGGGTTATGCAATTTGATCCTGTATTTGGCCTTATACTGGTAATAAAAATAAAACACAGTACACATCTGTAATCCTAGCTCCTTGATAGGCTGAAGCAAAAAAGTCAAAAAATTGAGGCCACTCTGGACAGCTTAGTGACACCCTGTCTCTAAATTTTAATAAGGGGACTGGGGATGTGGCTCAGTTGATAGGGTGCTTGCCTAACGTTTGTGAGGCCCTGGGTTCAATCCCAAGCACCACAAAAATAATAATAATAATAAATTAATTAACCAACCCAGCTGAAATGCAGGTACAAGCTGCCATCACATGCGGTTAGTCTGGGGGTTAATGGGACTCCCACCTCTTGTGAAGGATCCCCACTTTTGCTCCAAGTTGCCCTCAGCCTGCCCAGGGCACAAGGCGAAAGCAGCTGTCTGGAAAGACAATTTGCACATGCTCTTCTCTTTTTTGTAGTTTTTAATTGTAGATGGACATAATGCCTTTATATTATTTATTTATTTTTATGTGGTGCTGAGGATGGAACCCAATACCTCGTGCCTACAAGTTGCTCAGCCACTGAGCCATAGCCACAGCCCCAGGCAGTGTCTTTCTGATGTCCACCCTTGCTCTGCTGCTTCACCACCTGGGTACCTGTAGGAGGGAAAAGCTGGAAGGGCACATGCTGCACTTCTGGAGTAAAGTGCCTCATCACTTCTGCTCATAGCCCATTACCGAACTAGTCACCACTGCTGCCCTGCTGGATTCTGGGGAATGTGAAGGAGCCCCAGAGGGTTTGGGGAGGGAGCAGGCTCTGGCACATATCCCTGTGGAACAGACTATGAATGTCATGCACTCTCTGAGAGGTAAAACCTGCAGAAAAACCCTCCATTAAACTTCTTTTTTCTTCCTGACTCTAGTGCAGAACAGGCTGGTCTGCACACCGCAGCACACATTCCAGCATGTTCACCTTGTCCTGTGGACTCTCTGTGTCCTCCTGGCAGTATTATTTACTGCCACCTGAGCACCTGGCCCAGTGCATTCCTGTTGTGTGTGATTAGCATACCAAGCTACTGCATGGAGCTCCAGGGGCAGGTTGAAGGCTCGGTAGCTGGAATAGTCCCTGTAGGTGAGCGTATGGTTTACTGGCATCATGATGACCTGTGGCAAGCTTCCCATAGGGTAGCTGGTGTGTTGTGGTGCAATCTTGTGAGCCATCACCCATGCCAGTGTTGGCTGTGCAATAGGGGCACCGTCCTCAGGCTGCTAGGCCCCACCCAGCCCCAATGCTAGCTGGACTGGCCACACACCGTTTTACCATGCACTGAACTTAGAATGAGCTGTTGAATTAAGGTTTCACATAAAAGAAGTTAAGAAAATGAAAAATCAAGCCATAGGTTAGATTCACACTCCATGTATCTGGCAAAAACTTGTATCCAGAATATAGAAAGACCTCCTCTATCTGTCTAATCAGAATACACTGTAATTAATTAAATGTGCAGAAGATTTGAATAAGCATTTTACAAAAGAAGATAGCCCACGTGCATAGTAGAAGATTCGGGGTGGGGGAGAGGGTTATGCGCGTGTGTTGCTGGGGATTGAACTCAGCGAGCTCTATCACTGAGCTGTATCTCCAGCCCTTTTTATGTTTTATCCTGAGACAATGTTTAGGTAAGTTGCCTAGGTTGGCCTCAACTTGGAATCTTCCTGCCTCAGCCTCAGCTGGGATTACAGGTGTGTGCCACTGCACCCAGCTCTCAACCTCTTGGTTGGTTAGCAGAGAAACATAAATTGAAGCTAAGATAAGACACAACTTCACCCCCACTAGAAGGCTGTGATGAAGAAGGTGCCAGAACCAAATGTTAGTGAGAGCACAGGCAACCAGAATTTGCACACTCTGCTAGTGGGCATGTAAAATGGTACTTACATTGGGAAAACTGGCTTTTTCTTTTAAAATGAGACGTTCATCCAACATATGGCCTAGCAACACCTAGATCATTTATTCAAGAAAAATACATGTTCACACACATAAACAAAAACCCACCTTCTACAAGAATAATTTTAGCAGTTCTATTTCTACCAGCAAAATGTGGATATAGCCAATGTCCACCACTAGGTGGATGGAGGAGCTAAGGTATGTACGTACATGGCGTGCCCTCAGCAGCAGAGTGAGGTGAGCAAGGCTGAGGCTCGCTCATGTTCTAGCACATACACTCTGGTTCTGCTTTTGTGAACCGCTAGGACAGACCACGCTTACCTCTGGTATAGAGATCTGTTTAGTGTGTCCAGGGCAGAGGACATTGACAGGAAGGGACCTTAGAGAACTTGGAGGTGATTAAAATGTTCCACATCTTGATGGTATAGGTTACTGGGGTTGTTTGTGGAAACAGATGGGACACAGATGCTGCATGTCTGTGTATTTTGTTGTGTGAAGCCTAAGAGGTCAGAGGTGACTGTTGTAGAGAAGTCAAGCTGACTCAAGTTCAAAGGGGGTCCAGCCTTGGCCTCCAGACTGAGTCACCTTCTAGACTGGCAATCCCAGGCAAACTTCTCTCTGTAAAAGCCTGGCTGGCCTCCTGCATGAACTTGGACAATAATAAGTGTGATCTTGGCTGTGAGGTTTGAAATGAGAGCCCATCCTGTAGTGGCTGTTCAGTAACTATTAGCAGTGGCACATTTTTGCCACATAAACTTTAATTTTCTTTCTTTCTTTTTTTTTTTTTTTTTGTGTGTGTGTGTGTAATGCTGGGGATGGAACCCAGGGCCTTATGCTAGGCAAGTTCTCTACCACTGAGCTCCACTCCCAGCCTAATGCTTTTTTAAAGGCGCCTCCCATTTCTTTTCAGCTTATAATCAGTTTAATTAACAGAGAAATATAAACGTGAAGATTCCTTAGGAGATGTAGATAGTCATTTCTAATTTGAGTCAAGGCTGTCAGTAAATATGAGTTCCCTTCCCCGACTCCAGACTTTACTGGCAGTAGTAATCTAATGGTGGAACTTGTGCTGAAATGTTATCCCAGCGTGTGGTGGCTGTGCAGTATGATGGCAGCACTGTGATTAATTTGCTCACAGCCTAGAAGGGATACCATGTGGCACCAGGCAGATGGCAGGGCAGCTAGGGCCTTCCTGACTCCCCTCGTTATGATGTTCTCAGACCCAGCCAAGTCTACACACCCAACGTGGAAGAGCTGCAGCAGGTCAAAGGACATGCACCTGAGTCCAACCAAAGTGTAGCCTCCTTTCTTCCTTTGAAGTATAAAATCAAAGTTCATAGATGAAATGAAATGTGAGCCATTTCACAGGAGTAATTATAGTATGTGTACTCTTTCTCTGTTTGTCTACAGGAGCCATAAAACTGACGAGCTTGGCATGTGGAAGTCAGCACATCTGGGCCTGTGATTCCAGGGGTGGAGTTTACTTCCGTGTAGGCACCCAGCCTCTGAATCCCAGTCTGATGCTCCCAGCCTGGATCATGATTGAACCACCTGTCCAGGTAAGCCAAGTTAACCAGTAGGAACCTGCACCTTAGTAAGATGAAGCCGTCAGGATGCACTTACTGGAGAAAGGACCGCAGCTGCCCTTGCAGCACATAGTGAGAGAGGTCAGCACTCTTGCTGCCTTGATCATTGCCACTCCCAGCTGGGAGTTTGATGGGTGACGTTTAGGGCTGAATAGATTATTCTTTAATAATTAAAAATACATTATTTTTTAAATCAAGCAAACCCAAAAGTATAAAGGTGGAGGTAAAAGTCACCTAAAATGTTGCTACAGGGAGATCCACATTTTGCAAGTGCTCTCCTGGTCTCAGACCCTTCTTTCCTGTCCGCCCGCCCTTTGCCACTTTCACTTTACACTGTGTTTGATGTCAGTTTGTTCTCTCGCCTTTTCCACCAGCTAAGTCACAAGCGGAGGCTGATTTTAGCACAGATTCAGTTATGCTAAGGGCCTGATGAATGTACTTCCTGTGCTAAGCGTATTTCTGTTAAGATTTATAATTACGGGTTGTGACTTAGTGAAAGTCATTTTGTCTGACCCCTGCTAGTGCCCATTTGGAGTCCACAGAATTTGTGGAGGTCCCATGTTGGTAGTCCTGGTCACAGGGAGGTGCCATGTCCTTGCTGGGGTCCTCCCTACCTCACAGGGCTGTGGAAGTGAGTAGAAGGGTGCAGGACACAGGTGAGGAATGCAGCACACACCAGCTGCCCACGCACAGTGGGGGCAGTCCACCTGCAGAGAGGGGCACTTCATAGCTGCTTGCTCAGCACTCTTGGTGCATGGTGGTGAGGGCAGGCAAGCTTGCCTGTAGTCAATTCCATAGTTGTCCTGGGGACACTATGAGTTTATTCCTGTTTTCCTTCTAACAGTTTTATGTTATTTTAAAAAAAATTTTTTTTAGTTGTCAGTGGACTTTATTTATTTATATGTGGTGCTGAGAATCAAACCCAGTGCCTCACACAAGCTAGGCAAGCACTCTACCACTGAGCCCCAGCCCTGTGTTATTTCTTTTTAAGAGTTATAATTAATCTTTTACAGTATTCAACCCTATGATTTTAGTGCATTCACAGCGTGCAGTGATCACCGCTGTCAACTCCAGAACATCTTCATCACCCCAAAAAAAAACCCCTTACTAATTGGTAGTCACCACCTTTTTCCTGGAGCCCTTAGCCCCCTCTTCTCACCATGGCTGCTACTGTTTCCCATCCCCGTGGCTTTCCCTGCTCCCCACGCTGCGTGTGGATGGAGTCCTGCGGTGCGTGGCCTTTTCCCTCACGGCTTGGACTTGGTGTTGTGGTTTCAGCTCACCCGTGCTGTAGCACCTCTCAGTTTTTCTTCCCTTCTCGTGACTGAACAGCGTCCCTTTAGCAGACACACCACATTTTGTTGATTCATTCACCAATTGACGACCTTCTAGTTGTTTCTGCTTTTCAGCTATTGTGAATACTGCTGCTGTGAACTTTGTGTACAAATCTTTGGGAGGACGTATGTTTTCAGTTCAGCTGAGCATATGCCTATAAGTGGAATTGTAGTGTCATCTGGTAATTCTGTTTGGCTTCTTAAGGAGATGCCAAGTTGTCTTCCACAGTGATTCTGCCATTTTACATTCTACCAGCAACATACGAGGGTTCCAGTTTTCCTACATTCTCACCCTCCAATTTTTTTCTCTTTTCATTTCATTTTAGCCACCTTCATGGGTGTGAGATGGTATCTCATTGTGGTTTTGGTTTACATTTACCTAAAGACCAGTGACAGTAAGCTTCTTTTCCCACGTTAGTTGGCCATTGGCATATTTTCTCTCGGGAACTGTGTATCTGAGTGCTCTGCTCACTCTCCCTTCTGTCATCCTTTTCAGTCGGTCACAGGAGCTCTGTATGTTCTGGATGTTTCCCTCCCTCCCCCGCTGTGCCTTGTCTGTCTGCTTTCTTTATGATGTCCTTTGATGCACAAATGTCTTAAATGTGCTGGGCACTTTGGCACATGCCTGTAATCCCAGTGGCTCAGGACACTGAAACAGGAGGATCGCCAGTTTCAGCAAAAGCGAAGCACTAAGCAACTCAGTGAGACCCTGTCTCTAAATAAAATACAAAATAGGGGTGGGGATGCCGCTCAGTGGTCGAGTGCCCCTGAGTTCAATCCCTGGTACCAAAAAAAAAAAAAAGTTTTAAATGTTTATTTTTTTCCTTTGGTTCCTTGTGCTTTTGGTGTGATATTTAAGAACTGTTTCCTATTCCAAAGTCATGTTTTGTTTTAGAAGTTTGTGGTTTTAGCTCTTATGTGTAGGCTTCTCGTTCGTTTGGAGTTGCTGTTGGCATGTGCCGTGGGACGGGCATCTGGGTTCATTCTTTCACATGTGCACATGCAGTGTACTGACATCAGCTACGGAAAGGACCATTGTGCCCATTAAATCACGTGGAACCCTTGCCAGGCAGCAGGTGATCACTGGGTAGCAAGTAGGGCAGTGCCTGGGCTCTGCTCTGCTGCAGTGACCTGTGCCTCCTGCTCACATGCGTACCTGGTTGTCATTTTCAAGTCAGGGAGTATACATCCTTCAACCTTTTATCTTTGAAGATTGTTTCAAAAGTGCCTTTTCAGGGCTGAGGCTGTAACTCAGTTACAGTGCCTAGCATGTGTAAGGCCCTGGGTTTCATCCCCAGCACCACGTAAAACTAAATAAATAAAATAAAGGTATTGTGTCTATCTACAACTAAAAATATATTTTTTAGAGTATTTGTCAATTTCTATAAAAAAATACCAACTGAGAGTTTGATAGGAATTGTGTTGAATCTGTCAATCAATTTGGGAAGTGTTTCCATCTTACCTTTATTAAATCTTTCAACCCACAAACATGGGATGTCTTTCCATTTATTTAGATCTTCATTTGTTTCATTCAGTAATGTCTTAGAGTTTTCAGAGTACATGTTTGATACTTTTTTTGTATCAGGGATTGAACCCAGGGGCACCACTGAGCCACATCCCCAGCCCCTTTTTATATTTTACTTAGAGACAGGGTCTCATTAAATTGCTTAGGGCCTCACTAGGTTGCTGAGGCTGGCTTTGAACTCTCAATCCTCCTGCCTCAGCCTCCTGAGCCATTGGGATTACAGGCATGTGTCACCATACCTGGCACTGTTTTATACTTGTTTTTTGTTTGTTTGTTTGTTTGTTTTTGGTTTTGTTTTTTAAAGAGAGAGAGAGAGAGGAGAGAGAGAGAGAATTTTTAATATTTATTTTTCAGCTTTCGGTGGACACAACATCTTTATTTTATTTTTATGTAGTGCTGAGGATCCAACCCAGTGCCCCATGCATGCCAGGTGAGCGCGTAATCGCTTGAGCCACATCCCCAGCCCTATACTTGTTTTGTTAACATTTTTCCTACATCATTTATTTTTTTTATGCTATTATAAATGGAATTGTTTTCTTTGTTTCAGTTTCAGATTGTCCATTGCTAGTATAGGTTTTTGTATATTGACCTTGTGTCTGGAAACTGTACTAAACTTTCTAGATTTTATTTAATTTATTTATTTTAAAGAGAGAGAGAGAGAAAGAGAGAGAATTTTTAATGTTTATTTTTTAGTTTTCGGCGGACACAACATCTTTTGTTTGTATGTGGTGCTGAGGATCGAACCCAGGCCGCACACATGCCAGGCAAGCACACTACCGCTTGAGCCACATCCCCAGCCCACGTTCTAGATTTTAATAGTGTTTTTTATTTGTTTGTTTGTTTGTTTTCTTATGGTGCTCGGGATTGAACCCAGGGACTTGTGCGTGTGAGGCAAGCAGTCTATCAGCTGAGTTGTATCCCCAGCCCTAAATTTTAATAGTTTTTTAATACACTCCTTAGAATTTCTAGTATACAGAGTCATATTTTAAAACCAGCCATAGTGGTACATACTTGTAATCCCACAGACTTAGGAGGCTGAAGCAAGAAGATCGAGAGTTCCAGGCCAGCCTCAGGAACTTAGCAAGACCCTGCCTCAAAATTAAAAGAAAAGGGGGGCAGAGGGGATGGGACTGTAGTTCAGTGGTAGGCCCTAGGTCAGTCTCTAATACCACACACATACACACACACACAAAAAAAATTGATATTGTCCATAAATAGAGATAATTTTAACTTCTTTTCCTTTGTGGCTTTCATTTCATCGTCTTGCCTAGTTCTTCTGTCTAGAACTTACTGCTCAATATTGAAAAGAAGCAGCAAGAGTGGATGTCCTTGTCTTATTTCTTTTTTTTTTTTTTAATATTTATTTATTTATTTTTCGGTGGACACAACATCTTTGTTTGTATGTGGTGCTGAGGATCGAACCCGGGCCACATGCATGCCAGGCGAGCGCGCTACCACTTGAGCCACATCCCCAGCCCCTTTGTCTTATTTCTTATCTCAGGAGAAAATCATGCAGTCTTTTGCCATTAAATGTTAGCTGTATGGTTTTGTTTATTGAAGTTCCCTTCAATTCCTGGTTTGTTGAGAAAAGGAACTGACTTTTGTCAAATGCTTTTTCTTTTTTTTAATGGTATTGGGGTTTGAATCCAGAGACTTAGACTTGCATATAACTCATCAGGCACTGAGCTACATCCCCATCCTTTTTTTTTTTTTTGAGACAGGTTGTATTGAGTTGTTCAGGCTATCCTTAAACTTGAACTTGTGATTCTCCTGCCTTAGCTTCCCAAAAAGCTAGGATTACGTTGTGTGCCACCACACCTGGCTTTTTCTTTGTCTATTGAGATTATCACGTGGGGTTTTTCCTTCATTAATATGATGTATCATATTGATTGTTATATGTTGAACCATAAACCACATTTTCATTCCTGGGATACATCCTACTTGACTATGGTGCACACCCTGGTCAAGCTGTGAACCTGGTCTGCTCAGGCCTTCCTGAGGAGGGTCTTTACTCCCACAGTCATGAGGGACAATGATCTTTGGTTTCCTCTTTTCCTCATGGGTTTGTCCAGATTTGGTATTAGGGCAGTTCTGGGCTCATAAAATACGTTGATATCAGTGTCCCTTCCTCTGCTGGTTTCTGGAAGAGTTTGTGAGGATTGGGGTTGATTCATTTTAAGCAATATTAGAATTTCTCAGTGTTTCCATGTAGACTGAGGCTTTTCTTTGTGGGAAGTTTCTGTTTTTAGTTACTGATTCAGTCTTTTTGCTATTTCTTTTGTTTCAATATGAGCAGCTTCTGTTTTTTCAGGAATTTGTTCATTTCTTCTGTTTTCTGATTTATTGGTGTTCACTTGCTTATAGTATTCTCATAATCCTTTTTATTTTGATAAGATGGATAGTAACATCCCTTCTTTTATTTTTGATTTTAAAAATTTAAGTCTTTAGTTTTTTATTTTGAGAAGGGTCTTACTATGTTGCTAAGGCTGGTCTCAAACTTTCAATCCTCTTGCCTCAGCCTCCCAAGCCACCAGGATCACAGGTATGCGCCACTGGAGCCAGCTCTTTTCTTTTTCTTAATCCAGCCACAGGGTTTGTCAATTTTTGTTGATCTTTTCAAAAAACCGTCTTTTGGTTTGACTTTGTCCCATTTTTCTGTGTCTCATCTATTTCCACTCTAATCTTTGCTGTTTCTTCCACACTTTCTATGCACAGTGCTTTGCTTGATAGTGGCATTCCCCTGATAACTCTAAGCATAGGTCATGATTGTGTGAGACCATGGGAACATGGTGCTATGGAGAACATGTGGCATGGCAGAGCCACGCTAGGGTATGTCGGGAGCTGGTTTGCAGAGTGTACTGTGGCAGAGAGCATTGTCGAGCGGTTGCTTCATGCTTGTGCCTTGCCTCACGCCTTCCCCAACAAGCCAAAGGCCAGGACGCAGGAGACTAGAACAGGCAGGGTCTGCAGGCCACAGTGGGGCTGGGGCCACCCTGTCCTCTGTTATATGCACCTCTATGCAACCAAGGAGCCACAGGGGCACCTAGCAGTGGGTTTATAATGAGGGCATTTCTGTTCCTATCTCCATTAGATTCTAGAATAACCTCTAGGAAGTAAAACATAAAGAGGGAGAAAGCTTCAGTTGGAGAGATGTACTAACTGTGGTGATCTACAGCTTGCCCAGGAAAATGACCAAAGTAGAACAAATTTACATGAAAGGACCTCAAAGTCGTGCTTGGTAGGTAGGCTGTTAAACATTAACTATTTCAAGTAGAAACTAGAAACTAGAGCCACGCTTTCTTTTCTGGTTAGCTTTTAGCATACTTCTGAAGAAATTCACTTTGCCGTAGAATTTGCAGATACAAGAGGCTTTTCAAATTGGTTCCTGGGGGGAAATGTTAGGCTTTATCTGTGCACAAGCCTTCACTGTGTGCTTCTCTAAACACTGCCTTGTCCTTGAGCCTGCTTTTTCCCAGAATGTTGACAAACCAGGGGTGGCTCTCCTTGCTTTGCAGGAAACCTGTTACTCAACAACCTGTCCAGCGTCACAGCTCTAACATGATGCTGGGCCCATCCTAGGGCCCAGGCCTGCCCACCAGTAGATGCCCCTGCTGAGGTTCCCTATGATCCTCTGTGGGACCCTTCTGAGGCCAGAGGTACAAGGGTATAAGGGACGCTCACCTGGTGTTGACGTTGCACTGTAAGCACATCACCCCCCAGTCCTTGTGACATTTCAGCTAGAGACTGTTCCTGACCTCACTCAATGAAGGAGAAAACCTCAACTCAGAGAAGAGGCTCAGAAAATGGTCTGAGATTTCATCACTAGCAGATGGCAGAGCCGGGATGCAGACCCAAGTGTGTGACACCCTGACTTGGTTCCCGCCTCTGGCTCTGAGGCTCAGGGCTTGCGCCAGGACACTACAGACGCCATAAGAGAAGGCATGGTGGCACAGCTCAGGCTCAGTGACCTCACAGGTGATATTGCAGGATGAAGCCTAAGGAGTCTTTCTGCACAGGGCCCTAGAAAATGAGTCCAGGGAAGAGAGGAGAGACGAGGATTCAGTGACAGGTGCTGAGGGCTGAGGGCGGCCCCAAAGAGAGCGTGCTCAGCCTGGGAGTGGCCCTGGGCCATCCCAGCACCACAAACAAAGGATTCGAAAGTCAGAATACTGCCAAGTGCTAGGAAATAAATAGGGCATCACATTTGGTCCTCTGTGTCTCCTCTTGTTCTGTCTCCCTGGAGGCCACATCTGCAGTTGAATCAGAGATGGGAGCAGGTCAGTAGATGCCAGAGGGCACGTGAAGTGAAGCAACAGGAATGTTTTACATCAGCAGCTTCTTTATTTTTGTTTCCGGTGTTCTGGCAAAACCTCTCCCTCTGGTGGTGGTTTTGGGGAGAAGTTTCAACAACATACTCAAAGCGAATGATGCAGGCCTAACATTTGGAAGGGTTTGGAGAGAGCATTTCTAGTGGTGCATAGCGTCTTGGAGAGCAGAGCTTGCTGTTTCAGTTAGAGAACCTCCAGTTCACGTTCACAGCACCTCTGTAACCAGCATAGTTGGCAGAGGGTCTTTCACAGCACGCAGCCCTGTGGGCCTCAATGTAAGAGGAGACTGCTTCACAGCCCCTGTGTGCCCTGAGCAGGCCTCGCTTCCTCCCAGTGGCCATGCTCTCGCCCGCTGTGGCCGAGGTACCTGTTTCCCATGTGGATTGACACTGTCACTGAGCTACATCCCCAGCCCTTTCTTTTGTTTGAGATAGGATCTTACCATGTTGCCAGACTGGCCTTGAACTCCTAGGATCACATGCTCCTCCCACCTCAGCCTTTCCAGGACCACAGGCCTATACCACACTCGGCAAAGGACCCAGATTTTATGGTCAGTGTGCAGCCTTTCTGCTCCAACATATCCCTCTGACCTCCTTGCCGTAAAACCCTGAATCCCTGCAGGTCTCCCTCTCCCCTGCACCTCCACAGAGAATCTTAGCACACTAACAGGAGACCTTGGAAGACAATCGCCTAGCCACCTCTTTCTGTAGGTGAGGATCCTGGTTGTGCCAGCAGTCCTCAACCCTCATCCTGGAGGCCCACATTGCTGGGGCCAGGGACTCAAGAGCAGCCCCATCTGGGGACACGTAGAGGCTTCGGTGGAGACACATAAACCATTGACTAGATTTTTTTTTTTTTTTAAAAAAAAAGAGAGAGAGAATTTTTTTTTTTTTT